ATTTGGGGACCCTTTTCCCTTAATCTTTTACCCTATATTTGTGCGGTGGTAGCGCTCTTGCAGCAACGCACCTCGGATCAGGCCACAACCCATCGGCCGAAGAGCAGAGCTCTGGAGCCCATCCTCTGCACTCCCCTCTGAAAACATCCCACCACCTGCTTCGGACCATGTGAAAAGGTTGGCTGTCCAAATCCCAGAATGAAACTTGGGGGCAAAGCAGACCTTTGCCCTGGAGTGGCGAGCAAAGCTGAGAGGGCGCCTCTCACAAAGCTGCCAAGTCCCTTGTCGGCACCACTGAGCAAGCTGGCCAAGAGAGAACACCACCCTTTCCTTTATCCCAGGCATGTCCAAAGTCTGTTTCAGGGGCCTAATCCAGCCCCTGTAGCAGTCTATCTTCTGGGGTAAAATCCTTTAAAAAGCTCAACAACTTTGGTCGGCCCTCACGCATGTTCACTTCATCAAATCTGACCCTCTTTGAAAAATGTTTGGGCACCCCTGCCTCATCCCATAGGTCAGGCCCACAAATCAACAAACACACACACACACACACCTTTCCAGAAACTTGCTCTCCTTAAGTCATAGCTGTCAACGTTTCCCCTTTTTTAAGGGACATTCCCTTATTCCGAATAGGATTCCTCACAAGAAAAGGGAAAAGTTAACAGCTATGCCTTAAGTTCTTAAATTAATGGGGAAACTAGCTGAAGCTGCCCAGGGTTGATGGAGGGGTCTCTGTGCATGCTCAGAGACACCTTGCTTACCAAGTGCCTATCCAAGGTCCCACTCAGAGCCCCGCGCTAAATACCCTCTCAGGGTACAAGTGGAGCCCCGCGCGCGCCCCTCTATTCGCGCGAGCGCCCTCTCACCGTGCACCCCGCGCGCGCCTGTCCTGGGTGCAACTTCGGCGCAGCGCGCGCGGGCGCCAAACTCCGCGCGCGCGCGCTTTGGGGATACCTTTGGTCAACTTCGGGGCGCAAATCCCTGCGGCGTGGCCACCACCTCACGCGACGGCGTTTTCCCTCTCCCTCTCCTCAGGGGGAAGGGAGCAGGCGTGGACTCGGCGGAGGCAGCAAGGCGAAGCCTCTCCTCCTGTCAAAGCACCAGGGACGCCGACGCCGCATGCTTGCAAAGCGGAGCTGGCAGGCGAACAAGCGCCCGCCCTTCGAGCTTGGCTGGCTCTCTCCCTCCAGGCTCCTCCAGCCCACAAGCCCCGCCAGACCGACTTAGCCGAGAGCCTCGGAGGAAGTGGCGGAGAGAGCGAGGGCGCCGGCGCCGCCGCCACCGCCGCCGCCTCCTCCTCCCGCAGGGCAGCCCAAGCAGCGCGCAAGGCCAGGCGACGGCGCGCGTCTCTGGGAGCTCCCGCGCCGCCACCTGCTCCGCCGCGCGCGCCCTGCAGGCAAAAGGCGCATCGACGCGGGAAGGGGAGAGCCAATGGGATGCAAGGAGCGGGGGGAGAGTGCCTCTGAGCTCGTACAGAGTGCCTTTCTTTCATTCACGCACACCACTTAGAAAAACCACCCAGATAGCCTGGGTATTATTACTATTATTAATCAACCTAATCCTATTTCCAAGCCCAGGTTGTTGAGAGGGTTTGGGGCGATGCTCGGCGTTCTCCAAAAAGTCATGAACTTTTTTTATACAAAACCTTACGGACTTGCAGTATTAAGCCCATAAGGTCTTCTACAACTTAGGTGGCTGGAAAGGCGAGGCTGCAGACAGCGAGCAGAAGGAGGACCCGTTGCAGGCAAAAGCCAACTGCACCATTACAAAAGCAGCCTTGACAGTTCCTTACATGCCGACCCTTAGCACTCTCCCTAGTTAGCACTTTTTCATGGAAGCATGCCTAAAATTGAAGCCACGGTGAAGCATTCCCAAAATCGCCCTTCGATGGGCGGTGTGCAGCGTAAATGTAATAAAAGCAACATCACTGAGTGAGAGGCAGCAATAGTTATTCAAATCAGGCGGCCGCAATGTAGCCCTTTGAAATGCCTGCGCACAAGTGAAGCCAAGCAGCTCAATCCGACGCACGCCTTTTGCTCGGAAGTGAAGTCCCACTGTGTTCAATGAAGCTTAGCTCCTAATAAACGTGTCTAGGATTGCAGCCTCGCCCTCGCTACATTTACCTGGGCGTAGGCCCCAGTGAACGCAGTAGGACTTGCTTCCGAGTAAACATACTTCGGGCTGAGGCTGTGAAATTCTGCTTTGCACATTTCTGGCCTCTCCATACGGATACTTGAAACCCAGTGAACACAATGGTACTTGCTCCGGATTAAAGAGCCCAGGATTGCAGCCTTTATAAATGCCCCCCAAGTCTTCTATCAATATATATATATCAATTGGATATAGATCCAATTTCTGAGGCTGATTCGTTCCTATATAGACATCAACCGGATGGGTGCAATATCAAATCACTATTTGCATGTGTAAATAAATTGCCACAGCTCTTACATCGAAAATGGAGCTTTGGTTCCGCTTACCATACACCCGGTGCTTGCCGCAGTCAGTTCACACGTTCAGCTGCCCGCTCTCAAATATACCGTAATCAAACAGAGAAATCAAATTCTATGTACTTGCATTCTATTATTTCCACCTCAAAAACAGGGAAGCATTGCGGAAGCGGAATTGTATACCTTCCCGGGCTGGTATTATGTCAAACGTATAATTAACTGGGGGCCAGCTACTCTTTTTCCAAATGGCTAATTTTACGACCCGGGCTTGAGGATGCTTGCGCGCCACGTGGATTACGTGCAGCCTACCCTATAGCACATGAGAATGCGCGAAGGAACTCGACAGAGAAACCGAAGGCACATTCTGGCCGATGAAAGGTTTACATTTGCGTTAAAGCATCGCCTTAAGGAAGCTAGTATAAAACTGTCACGTGTGAATGCAAGTAGGTTGACCGGGATTCTCATAACTGTTTAGCATTCGAAAGGATCATCTTATCACGAAGAAAACTTATTAAGGGTAACTACTCCTTACCTGCCGCCGCCAGAGATGCGAGTCGTTTAGGAGAGGGAGGAGCAAACTTTCCTCCTCTCTACTGCATCAAAGGCAGCACAGAAGAGTCGGCGTCGCCCTTTGGGAAATACAGGCTTGCAAACTGATGCTTAAACCTTAGCCTTCCTTTGCAGGGCAAGCGGCGCCTTTACGCAAACCCCGTGCGCAGCCATAGATCTCCACGCGTCCTCCTCTCCTTCGAGGTGCGGTTACATCTATCAAACCTCGCCGCTTTCCTTATGCAGTGAACCCACCGCCTCGGGGAAATGTGTCCCCTTTTTGCTAGCAGATAACTCAATAGCGGGCTAAGGAAAGCCTGGAATGGTCACAGAATCAACAGAAAGCCAAAATGTCTTGCTATTCCATCCGTGCCACTGAAGTTAAAAATACGCACCGAGGAACTAAACATAACCTCGTGAAAGGGTTTGCTGAAATGTGATTGCGCCGTTTCCAACCTGTTGAAAATCAACTTGGATTTCTTCTATAGCTGGGAACGGCGCGCCCTCTAGTGGAAAATCTGGTAGAAGATACAGTACAGAGAAGGATATGCGTACAGCACTTATTTGTACCAAACTAAACAGGATTCAGCTGTACTGTCTTATAATCTTGCCTTTGCCCGGTTGCACGTTAATGAGAGAACCAACCTGGTAAAAAGAATCTTGTCGCACAATCTATTGCACATCTCCTCAGAAGTAACACCTACTGAGTTCAATCGGCCTTATTCCCAGGAAAGTGGAGTTACTTATCGGGGAGTAAGTAACCCTTTTGCTGCGTTGTCAGTCTTTGAGCTAATTGAATTAAACAGTTAAATCCACATAAATTTACACTGGAGCAAACCGTTAGTTCTGAGGGGGGGGGAGAGTTATAACCAGTTGATAAATCACTTAAATGTTACTAGCCAAATTTTGGACACTTGTAAGTCAAAAGACCCTTTAATGTATCTTAGAATTGTTCCATTGGCTCCCAAAACATTGTTGTACAAGCTACAGCTATCTTTATATTAGGGAAAGGATGTACTAAGCTCTTAAACTACCTATTGTATACCTCCCATCTCTCTGTGGGAGGCTGGTTGTATTGCTCCTATTGAACCCACCCACTCATGTAAATCTGGCCTTTTGGGAACCAGCTAATTATTAAGTCCTGGTGATACAGAATACAAAGCATAGGAAAAGAGGGAAGCCCACACAAACCTTTGAGCGGGTACAAAGCAGGAAAAAAATTTAAAAGGCTGCTTATATGCTGGAGATAATAGGACCCAGAAAGTGTCATTGTGTTCCTCCAGTGAGAATCCTGGTGTTTTTTGTTTTTTTTTAAAGAAGGCTTGCATTAGAAGCAAACCTTTTGCATCTATTTTCTGCAGTTACTGATTAACAAGCACGATCAAGTCAAGTTCTGCAAGCAGCGCTGTATGCGTGGTTCTCTGACTCCCTTTTATTCTGACAACATCCCTGTGAGGTAGGCAGGCAGGCAGGCAGACCGAGAGACTGACTGGGTTTGTGGCTCTGTAAGGGATTTGGCGGGTGACGCAGGTGGCGCTGTGGGTTAAACTACAGAGCCTAGGACTTGCCGATCAGAAGGTCGGCGGTTCGAATCCCCACGACGGGGTGAGCTCCCGTTGCTCAGTCCCGGCTCCTGCCAACCTAGCAGTTCGAAAGCACCTCAAAGTGCAAGTAGATAAATAGGTACCGCTCTGGCGGGAAGGTAAACGGCCTTTCCGTGCGCTGCTCTGGTTCGCCAGAAGCGGCTTAGTCATGCTGGCCACATGACCCGGAAGCTGTACGCCGGCTCCCTCGGCCAATAAAGCGAGATGAGCGCCGCAACCCCAGAGTCGACCACGACTGGACCTAATGGTCAGGGGTCTCTTTACCTTTAAGGGATTTGAACCCAGGTCTCCCAGGTCCTAGCCCAACACTCTAACCACAGCATCATACAGAGAACACAACAGTTCCTCCCCTCCAAAAGGGCCAGGCAAGGGGGCAGTTTGGACCAATTACAATGTATGTGGAAGGGTCATAGCTCAGTGGTGGAACATCTGCTTTGCCCACAGAAGGTCCAGGTTCAACCCCCTGTGTCTCCACGTACATAGGAAGCTGCCTTGTACTGAGTTAAGCCCATCTAGCTCAGTAATGTCTACACGGACTGGCAGCAATTTTCCAGGATTTCAGACAGGGATATCTGAAGATGCTGGAGACTGAAGCTGGGACCTTTTCAAGCCCTTGTTCCACCACTGAACTATGGCCCTTGCCCTGGCAGAACCTTCCGCCTGAAAACCTGGACAACCGCTGTGTTATGTACTGAGTTGAATAGGATCCAAAATACAGCAGTCTGATTGGTCCCAGAACAATAGGCTTCAGAATGCAGCAGTCTGATTGGTCTGCAGGAGCCACCCAATCCAACTCCAGGTGGAAGTGAATCTGCAACCTGATTGGCCTACAGGAGAATCCCGCAATTAGCCAATCACATGGGGCCCATTGTGTAAATAATGTATATACAGTGGTACCTCGGGTTACATACGCTTCAGGTTACAGACTCCGCCAACCCAGAAATAGTGCTTCAGGTTAAGAAATTTGCTTCAGGATGAGAACAGAAATCGTGCTCCGGCAGTGGGAGGCTCCATTAGCTAAAGTGGTGCTTCAGGTTAAGAACAGTTTCAGGTTAAGTACGGACCTCCGGAACGAATTAAGTACTTAACCCGAGGTACCACTGTAAAGCAGACATTTCGGGGAAACTGGCATTCCTCACTACTGAGCTGAATAAAGAGCATGAAATCCACACTCGACTCTGAGTATATTTCACGCTGCCAGTCAGTGCAGCTTACTAGTTCCTCCGTGTTCAGACGTTGCTTTCCCTTTCTCTGGCTGAAGGGTCCTTGTCTTCAGAAGATCACTGCATGCCCCCCCGCCCCCAGCCTCTTCTATTTTTACAGATATGCATGAATCAGCAAGCGACGTTTTCTGCTAACTGCAGCGGCGGATCAAAACTGTCCTTAAAGGAGCAGCTCCAGTTGAACCCGGAGGGATAAAAGATGGGCGGCGGCCCAATCCTCAGCTCCTAAAATATAGGAGATTGCCATCCTAACCCTGTTTACTTGAGAATAAGCCCCTGCTGCATCCAAGAAGGCTCACCTCTGAACACACACCACCCTCCCGCTACCCAGCAAAGTTATGAATGAGCAGACCGAAGAAGGCCGCGCCCCTTTCCCCGGGGCTCGGCTTCCTTTTGCTGCGCGCTGATTGGACAGAACGGGAAGCAGTGAGAGTTCTTGGAACGCCGAGGGAGAGAGAGGCGGGGGAGCGGTTTGGGATGGACGCCGGGCACAGAAGTTGAATGGATAAGCCCTGCAGGGGTTGCCCGGATGCCCTTAGCTACAGGATCCACTCACTGCCCTTCTTCTCCCTTTCAGGCTCTGGGCAGCCCCGCCCCCGCCTTTCTGTCCCCTCCAAAGCGCATAAACCACCAGACAATTCTCCTTGCAGCCACTACCAGCGTTCATAATCAATATATAGCAGTGTTTTCGCAAGCCCCTTAGGCGTTGATCCTGCATCTTTATTTCGTTAGAGGGTTGTTGTTTTTTTTGCATAGCTGTCAACCTCTCCTCTTTTGCGGGAAATTCCCTTATTTCAGCGCCGCTTCCCGCTGCTATCCCGGATTGTTAGATATCCCGTAGACTGTCTGCGGGATATCTAACAGTTCACAGCTAAGCTATCCCTTGTTTTCGAGGCTGCTGATCCGTTATTTTCAAATCTGAAAGTTGATAGCCATGGTTTTTTCTTCTGGTGGCAGACGACAGAACCACGAGACCGGTGCAAAACACTCAAACAAAGGTTTTATTACAGCTATACAAAAACAACAAACACAAAGCTTTGGGTGTCCCCTCTCTCTGCAGGCAAATTCAAACTGCAACATCTCCTCCTTTTGTCGTCATCACCAGCTGTACCTAATCACCCTAGAAAAGGACACCCAGAACTCACAGAAACACGTCTTAAAGTTAAAATCAGCTTCTCAGTTTCTTTGCAGAATGAGTCCCAACATATTTACCCCACGCCCTTCCTGCAAAGCGCGGCAGCGCATATATATCCTTGGCCCAATTCTTTTTCCTCTGCTTAACGCCAGGCGAGGGAGGAGGGTTCGGCCGCCGCTTGCAAGAGTGCGCGGCGGGGTGGTCCCTGCAGCTCCGATGGCTTCGCCGGACAGCGGCCTGGGCGGCGACAGCTTCTCTTCCCCGCTCCTGCCCGGCCCGCGGAGCAGCCTGCAGCAGGAGCTGCGCCAGCTGAATGACCGCCTAGCCGCCTACCTACCGCGCGTCCGCGGCCTGGAAGCCACCAGGACGGCGCTGCAGCTTCGCCTGTCCGAATCCGAGGACAGTCGCCGCGAGTTGGGCGTCTTACGGAGGGCCTACGAGAGGGAGCTGGCCGCCGTGCGCGAGGAGCTCCACGGGCAAGTCCTGCAGCGCGCCGGTCTGCAGGTCGAGCTGGAGACCCTGCGGGAAGAGCACAGGCGGCTGCTCGCCAGGTGAGTGTCCCTAGAGGGCGCGCCTTCCTTCTTCCTGGATCTCGCGCTCTTTTCTTCTTAAAGCAAAGGCTCTTCTTAGTCCATAGATTTCCAGTTTTCTGAAGTTAAAGAGGTTCATGGGTGGAGTCGGGGAGGGGGAAGTCGCCCCCCCTCCTAAATCAAGTAATTAAATAAAAATACTTAACTAAAAGCAGAAATTGTAATAGTAATAATAAATAATTTATTATTTATACCCCGCCCATCTGGCTGAGTTTCACCAGCCACACTGGGCAGATAATAATAATAATAATAATAATAATAATACCTTTATTGTCAATGTACAACCTGTGTACAATGAAATTAACTGAGCCTCCCTCCCCACCCCATAAACACTCAATCTCATTGCACTCTGTGTGCTTGTCGCACAACACACCAAGCCTGAAAGTCAGTTGCACTATATTACAGTGGTACCTCAGGTTAATAACTTAATTCGTTCTGGAGGTCCGTTCTTAACCTGAAACTGGTCTTAACCTGAAGCACCACTTTAGCTAATGGGGCCTCCCACTGCTGCCGCGCCGCCGGAGCACGATTTCTGTTCTCATCCTGAAGCAAAGTTCTTAACTCAAGGTACTATTTCTGGGTTAGCAGAGTCTGTAACCTGAAGCGTCTGTAACCCAAAGTACCACTGTATTTTCCGTTCAGCAGCCTAACAGCCCACGGATAGAATATTAAAAACAAAAAACATTAAAAGCATCCCTAAACAGGGCTGCCTTCAGATGTCTTCTAAAAGTCAGATAGTTGTTTATTTCCTTGACATCTGATGGGAGGGCATTCCACAGGGCAGGCGCCACTACCGAGAAGGCCCTCTGCCTGGTTCCCTGTAACTTCTCTTCTCGCAGGGAGGGAATTGCCAGAAGGCCCTCAAAGCTGGACCTCAGTGTCTGGGCTGAGTGATGGGGTGGAGACGCTCCTTCAGGTATACTGGGCTGAGGCTGTTTAGGGCTTTAAAGGTCAGCACCAACACTTTGAATTGTGCTCAGAAACGTACTGGGAGCCAATGTAGGTTTTTCAGGCCCGGTGTCATGTGGTCTCGGAGGCCACTCCCAAAATCCAAAAGATTTTGACAGATTGTTCTGAGCACTTAGGAGTCAAAGGAAAGTAATTTAAAAGAACTGTTGCTGAGACATCTCATTCTCAATCTGCTAGACAGAGCCAGACAGAGGATAATGACAGGTGGTGGCTACCTGCCCACCTCCTAAAATAAATCTCTGCTATGCCCATGGATTTGTGCTTTTATTGTGTGGTCTCATTTTCTTGCTCTGAACTACTATAGGACGAAGGCTGGGGCATATAGACCCATAGAATGGTAGAGTTGGAAGGGGTCCCAGGGTCATCTAGTCCAACCCCCTGCAATGCAGGAATCTCTACTAGATCATACATGACAGGTGGCTATCCATCCTTCACTCTCCCTCCTATCGATAGAGCTTATGATGTGCAAATTTGATTCAGAAATGCTAAAAGCCATACCTGTTGAGATGCAAAGCCTCCTGTTTACACTTGCAACCTGCTTGTTCTCAGGAATTCTAAAAATGAGAATGATTTAAGCCTGGCAGTCGCTCGCATGAAAGACCTGGATGCTCAGCTCCGCTGCAAAGAGGCCGAATTGACGACATCCTTGAGTAGACAGCAGAGCCTGCAAAACCATCTTCAAAAGTCAGAACGTGAAATCAGCTCTGTAAGGGTTTGTTCTGTAAGATCTAAACTGTCCTGCTGAAACGACGAAGGTTGTTAAGAGATATTCGGGTCACAAGTAAAATGTTCTGTTATTTTTGGGTGTATTTTGAGAGGTGAGAAGTTCCAGGGGCAACAGGGCTTAGCTGGATTTGGAAGGTCACTGGGGGCTTATGGAGCCTTGTGATATTTAAGGTCACTGCAGTCGCACTCACCTGATGTCCCCTCCACAACTGATAGGAGCTTTGTTTTTATCTCCTCCTATATTGTGGTCTGGGACACGGGTGGCGCTGTGGCTTAAACCACAGAGCTTAGGACTTGGCAATCAGAAAGAAGGTCGGCGGTTCGAATCCCTGCGACAGGGTGAGCTCCCGTTGCTCGGTCCCTGCTCCTGCCAACCTAGCAGTTCGAAAGCACGTAAAAGTACAAGTAGATAAATAGGTACCGCTCCGGCGGGAAGGTAAATGGCGTTTCCGTGCACGGATCTGGTTCGCCAGAAGCGGCTTAGTCATGCTGGCCGCATGACCCGGAAGCTGTACACCGGCTCCCTCGGCCAGTAAAGCGAGATGAGCGCCGCAACCCTAGAGTCGGCCACGACTGGACCTAATGGTCAGGGGTCCCTTTACCTTTACCTTTATATTGTGGTCCCAATGAAATTTGCCCCCTGGAAGCTGCTCCCCCCCCCCCCCGCCGGAAGTGAAGTTGCTACTGAGTCCAATAGCAGTTTCCAAACTTGGATGGGAAGGGGCTCTCGCCATGGTTTCATGCAAAGTTACAGCCCTGTAATGGCACATCTAAAAATGTACACTCTGGCTGGGTACAGAACATGCATTTAAAGCACAGTTCCTCCCTGCTCCCAAAGAACATTGGGAACTATAGTTTTAGGGTGCTGGGAATGGTAGCTCGGAGAGAGGTAAACCAGGATTTTTTGAGTGGTGGAGCAAGTGTATGGTCTGAATGCATCCTAAGGCTCAGTTCATGCAGGACAATCGATATTGCTTTGGGCTGCTTTCTTCGCCCATGTGAACTGAGAGCATAACCTGAAATAAATATTGATCCTCTGCAGCTGTTGTAGCAAAAGGCAGGGTTTCAATAAAGCCTCGCATTCGGTTCTTAAATTGTCAGAATATCTTGAACTGGGCAAACTTACAGGTTTAATAAGAAATTATTCTCATGAGAAAATAAGGAGAGAGTGGTAAGCCTTTATAAATTATATGAAGAGAACTGATTCCCTGATTTGTACTTGGTTTAGCTTAGAATAAAAATATCACAGGTACAGACAACCAGAGATATGAGGAATAAATCCACATGGAGTTAGTTGGAAGTCACTTTTTTCTTTTTCTTTTTCTTTCTTTCTTTCTTTCTTTCTTTTTTTTGGGGAGGTATTATTTTTCATTCTTTTTTTTAAAGGAGAATATGTTTTATATTTTCGATTGTAGTTTATGTTATTATGTTTTTGTATTATTTTCTTTGTTTTATTCAATGCATGTTTGTATGATGTATAAGGGTTTTTAATTTTTTTTTAAGAAGCCTCGCATTCGCTGGGACATAGTCTGAAAGCTATGGCCTAACCAGTGCTTTTTTTCCAGCCGGAACTTGCCAAAAATAAGTTCCGGCACCTCTCAGGTGGGCACCATTGCCATTATAAGACAACAAGGGAGGTGTTCATGGCGAGTTCCGGCACCTCTTTTTCTAGAAAAATAGCACTGGGCCTTACACAAAGTCTGCACTAGCAGAAATCCAAAAAAGAAAGGCAGATGTACACAGATGCACAACTGATCCATTAATCTGTGTTGCTCTCTGTGTCTACGCCAGTCTATCTTGTGTTCCATTGTTTGACTTTTTAACTAGTGGTATGTTTGCTTGGTGAACGATAGTATGTTATATGCCTAAGAACAATAACATTGCACAATATAAAACCTGCAGTTAATAAGAGTAACTTAACCCCACTTGCAGGCTTGTAACCTAAATGAACATGAGGAAAAGGGAAGGGAGTATGAGAAGATTGATTTCGAGTTCTGTTAAAACATGTTGGCTTCCCAAGGTTCTCCTTTTGGGCTTATTAAACACTGTAGCTGAACAGGAGTCTTGGAAGGATTTAAGGGAAGCACAAAGCATTTGCTAACTTTCCCGTTAACTACTTTCCTAGCTCAAGGTAATGGTGAATCATTTCAAAAGCCATCTTCAAAATGAGATGTTGAAGAGAACAGATATAGTAAACCAAATGGAAACCCTGAAGAAAGAAGTAATATTTCTAAAGAACATCCATGAAGACGTACGTACTTCTGCAGTCTTAGACTTCCTTAATTTCAGCTGCTGTTTAATTTAAAACACTAAAATTAAGGTCAATAACTTGGTGAAATAGTTTAATCAGGGGAGGGCCAAAAATGATGATAACCCTGGGTTACTGTGTTTTATTGTTCCTATTTTGCCCCTCTCCTAGCATGAATGAGATAAACAAACCAAAGAGCATAGACTTCCTGTTGTATCTGAACCAGGGTTCATGGTTTGTTGCTCTCTAATAAGCAATGATCAGTAACTCTGGAGAAATAAGCCACAAACCCGGGCTTGGATGACGTGCTAAGCCACACCATGGCTTAGCTGGCAGGAGTTTAGCAGGACTAGAGGAGAAACAAAGTGGCCACAATCTTGTCTCTAGGAGCCCTGGTTCTGCTAAGCCATGGTTTGCATTACATGCAAATTGAAGTAGTGTGTTGTATTCCATTCAGTTGTTCCCTATGGGAGACAGTTGCATTTGCAGAAGAAAAGAAAAATAAAAGGAGCAAACAATGGGGGCTCCAATGTTGACTGCATCTAAAGTTACTGTGCACCTCTTTTAATTGCTCTTAATGCGCCATGGAGGGATGCGGGTGGCGCTGTGGGTTAAACCACAGAGCCTAGGACTTGCCGATCAGAAGGTTGGTGGTTCAAATCCCAGCGACGGGGTGAGCTCCCTTTGCTCGGTCCCTGCTCCTGCCAACCTAGCAGTTTGAAAGCACATCAGAGTGCAAGTAGATAAATAGGTACCACTCCGGCGGGAAGGTAAACGGTGTTTCCGTGCGCTGCTCTGGTTCATCAGAAGCGGCTTAGTCATGGTAGCCACATGGGAGCTGTACACCGGCTCCCTCGGCCAATAAAGCGAGATGAGCACTGCAACCCCAGAGTCGGTCACAACTGGACCTAATGGTCACTGGTCCCTTTACCTTTAATGCGCCATGGATGATGAATTTCAGGCCACAGTTTAACCGTAAAGAAATGTTGCATGTTCTTTATTCCGGGGCAGTACAGTACTGGTACTCTAATTTGCTTGTCTGCTACCGTTGTTTTTAATACGGAGCCTCTTAAATCCTTCCTCCCGGCTGTATTTCCCTTCTCTTCCTAGGAGCTAAAGAACAAGAAGCAGATCTACGAGAGCAGGATTCGAGAAATAGAGTCTCACCATCACCAGGAATTGGAGAGTAGGCTGTTGAATGCTCTCAAAGAGCTCAGACAGCAACACGAACAACAGATTTGCGCGTATAAAGATCAGGTGCAGCAAAACTTCAGTGCCAAAGTGAGTGGTTTGTCTGTCTATACTGCTGATGTCTTGCTGTCCCATCATTCTTAGTAGAGACCTGATCTCTTCTTGCTTCCTATGGGCAGGTCCCGAATAGGAGTGGCACAATTAGAGGCTGGGTTTTCACTTGCTACCTTATGCTGACAGGATGTCTTCCAAATGGTGGAAGGGGAAAGCAAAGGAAAATCATTGGTCTTCTAAGAGCTGATGGGACAAAGGCATGTTGGCTCCTCTCAGTGGATTCAGTGGGACTTAATTCTGACTGGATGTGCATAGCTTGCTTCGTTAATTACCGTATTTTTCACTCTATAAGACGCACTAGACCATAAGACGCACCTAGTTTTTGGAGGAGGAAAACAAGAAAAAAAATATTCTGAATCCCAGAAGCCAGAACAGCGATCCCTCTTGCTGTTCTGGCTTCTGGGATAGCTGCGCAGCCTGCATTCACTCCATAAGATGCACACACATTTCCCATTACTTTTTAGGAGGGAAAAAGTGAGTCTTATAGAGCAAAAAATACGGTATATGCTAAGATACCTTTCCCCAACCTGTTTCTAAGGGGATGCTGTATTTTGGTGAAACCCTGTTTGCTTCAGTTTCCCCAGCTCAGCATGTTACCTTCCCATTGTGTCCTCCTCTTGACCCCCTTGGATAATTCTCCTGCACACACCAGTCACAGCCAGAAGCATTTATTTTTAATACTAATTTACGTATTGCCTAACCTTCACCTTAAGGTGAACACCTGGAACAATATTGTAGAACATGCTGCCTAAAATGTGTTGGGGAAGGGGGGGCGTTATTGAGTTGTTTTTGTTTTTATTACGTATTTTGTGTTTTTATGTTGTGTTTTTATGTTGTAACTGCCCTGAGACCTGCAGGAATAGGGCAGTATGCATATTTAATAAATAATAATAAAAGTCATCTGAATTGGAAGGAATAAGGCCTAGAATTGTCTAATAATAATAATAATAATAATTAATATAATACAATATGATATAATAAATATAGTAAAGGTAAAAGGACCCCTGACCATTAGGTCCAGTCACAGACTCTGGGGTTGCGGCGCTCATCTCGCTTTACTGGCCAAGGGAGCCGGCATACAGCTTCCGGGTCATGTGGCCAGCATGACTAAGCTGCTTCTGGCAAACCAGAGCAGCGCACGGAAATGCCGTTTACCTTCCCGCCGGAGCGGTGCCTATTTATCTACTTACACTTTGAGGTGCTTTCGAACTGCTAGGTTGGCAGGAGCAGGGACCGAGCAACAGGAGCTCACCCCGTCGCAGGGATTCGAACCACTGACCTTCTGATCGGCAAGTCCTAGGCTCTGTGGTTTAACTCGCAGCACTACCTGCATCCCAATAATTATAGTAGGTCCCATTATTCCTCCCGAAGGAGCATAGTGTGGCAAACCTGTGTTAAATTGAACTGTTATTCATGTGTGTGCGCACAGAAACACGTTCAAATTAAAATGTGCAGTCCTGGTTAGCTTTTTCTTTTCTTTTTTAACCCAATACTATTTTCACAGATGGAAAACATTCAGCGTTCTGCAGCAAGGAGTAGTGATATCACCAAAGCTGCTGAGGAGGAGCTCAGAGAAGCAAAACTGAGAGTTGATTCTCTGATGTCACAGGTAAAACGGGGGCTGGAAACCAGGTAAAATGACGCCTACCTGGAGAGGGAAGAGGCTCTTAAAAGGTCTTTGGGAAATAGAGGTCTCTGCTAGTATGGCTCTGTTCCGCTGTGCCTAACAGTAAAACCTTTCTGTGAAATCTAAGGTTGCTACGTTGGAAGCCAGGAATGGAGATTTGGAGGCCAGAATAAACACGTTGGAGAACACCATTCTTGACAAACAAGGCTCATCGAGGAGATGCCTAGCTGAGAAGGACAGGGAGATGGACAGAATGCATCAGCGTATGCAGGTGCAGCTGGGGGAGCATGTGAAACTGTTGGATATGAAGATGGGTCTGGATCTGGAGATCGGTGCATACCGGGCAATGCTAGAAGGAGAGGAACAACGGTGAGCTTGGTGACAGAATTCTGTTCTTGAAAGGAGGCTTTCTTTTCTTTTTTTAATTGAACAGGAGCTGAACTTCTTACCAGTATTGGCTTTCATGGGCAAAGGGCTCTTTAACTCCCTCCTGCCCAGTGTGAACAGCAAGAGGAGCTTTTCTGCACCTTTTACTGTACGTTTCAGCCACACTTTAATACCCTCTAATGTGCCAGTTCCCAAAAACACAAGCAAGCTGGAATGAGCAGCTGATGTCCGTAATAAGTGGAGGGGCTATTCAAAAGGGAGCTGGTCTTCGCATTGGGGAGGAGGGGGTTAAAAGAGCCCTTTGCCCATGTCAACTCACATGGTTGAAAGCAACTGTGGTGCAGTCTCGGAGTCGAGAGTGGATTTCATGCTCTTTTCACTATCCCTCTTGTTGTTCTGGCTTCTGGGATAGGCATGCCAAGCCTCTTCAGGGCAGGGGGAACGTTCCTCCCGTTGCCCTGAAGAGGCTTCGCGCAGCTATCGCTGAAGCCAGGAGAGCAAGAGGGATCGGTGCGCACCCTCTCCTGGCTTCAGGGATAGCTGCGCAGCCTGCATTCATTCCATAAGACGCACACACATTTCCCCTTACTTTTTTGGAGGGGAAAAGTGTGTCTTATAGAGTGAAAAATATGGTATATATTATCTCCAGTATCGGAGGCCATGTCCCTCTAAAAACCAGTTGCTGGGGAACACCAGCGCAAAAGGTTTGATCTTCTTGCAGTCCATGGGACTCTCAAGAGTCTCCTCCAGCACCATCATTCAAAAGCATCAATTCTTTGATGATTAGCCTTCTTTATGGTCCAGCTCTCACATCCATACATCACTAGACACCACGGGAATGGTCCAATGTCAAGAGCAAAGAGACTGAGAGAGGGTGTTCTGCCATCAGTGGCTGCCTAATTTGAAAGGTGACTTTGTTTTGCAGGTTAAGAGTGCCCAGGCCCGGCTCAGAAAGTGTTGGAACACTAGCAACCACCAGTCTGGGCAGCCCCGTCCTCCCGCGAAGGAGAAGGAGGAAGCGGGCACTTTCAGAATGCCAAGTCCACAGCGTTTGCTTCAAAACGGTCCAGCATGCATCATCTTCAGGAAGTATTTCCATAGAACATATTGACAAAGAAGGACAATTTGTCAAAATCAGAAACAATTCTGATCAGGTATTTTTTACATGATTTAACTCCTTGGGACGAATGCATGGTTAGTGTAGCTGGCAAATTTGTGTCGCCCGAAAACTGGGTGCCATTTCTCTACAAAGCAGCTCTGGGTTGACCCTCCCCACCACCAATCTGCCTCTTCATTTCCCACCTGTAACTTCCTTGCCACTTTTATTTTCTCTCTCCCGTCCCTCCCTTCACCGGGTTTTAGACTAGTACAGTGGTACCTCGGGTTACAAGACGCTTCAGGTTACAAGACACTTCAGGTTACAGACTCTGCTAACCCAGAAATAGCACCTCGGATTCAGAACTTTGCTTCAGGATGAGAACAGAAATCGTGCTCCAGCGGCGCTGCAGCAGCAGCAGGAGGCCCCATTAGCTAAAGTGGTCCTTCAAGTTAAGAACAGTTTCAGGTTAAGAACAGACCTCCGGAACGAATTAAGTACTTAACCCGAGGTACCACTGTGCTTGATGTGAACATGGATCTGGAATCCCCCTGGCAGTGGGTGGAATAGAAGTTGCCCAGGAAAGTTTAATAATAATAATAATAATAATAATAATAATAATAATAATAATAATACAGTGGTACCTCGGAAGACGAATGCCTCGCAAGACAAAAAGCTCGCTAGACGAAAGGGTTTTTTGTTTTTTGAGCTGCTTCGCAAGACGATTTTCCCTATGGGCTTGCTTCGCAAGACGGAAACGTCTTGCAAGTTTGTTTCCTTTTTCTTAACACCGTTAAGTTGCGACTTGACTTCGAGGAGCAACTCATAGAACGCGGTGTGGTAGCCTTTTTTGAGGTTTTTAAAGACTTTGGTGATTTTTGAAGCTTTTCCAAAACTTTCCCGACACCGTGCTTCGCAAGACGAAAAAAATCGCAAGACGACAAAACTCGCGGAACGAATTAATTTCGTCTTGCGAGGCACCACTGTAATCAAAATTATTTATACCCTGCCCTCCCCAGCCAAGACTGGGTTCAGGGCGGCTAACAACCAATAATAAAAACAAGTTGATTAAAATAAAATTTAAAAGATTAAGATACAACATTAAAACATTAGGATACAGTCTCTTCATAGGAGGAGAAAGGAAAAAGAAAGGGGGGGGAGGGAATCAAACTGATTCTAAGCCAAAGGCCAGGTGGAACAACTCTGCCTTACAGGCCCTGCAGAAAGAAATCAGATCTCGCAGGGCCCTGGTCTCATGGGACAGAGCATTCCACCAGGCTGGAGCCAGTGTTGAGAAGGCCCTGGCTCTGGTTGAGGCTGATCTAACTTCCTTAGGGCCCGGGACCTCTAGGGTGTTGCTATATATGGACCTTAAGGTTCTCCGTGGGGCATACTGGGAGAGGCAGTCCCGTAGGTACGAGGGTCCTAGGCCTATGATTAAACATACTTGATGGTCCCCTCCTACAAACAGCCTCTTCCTAACATTTCTTTGCAGTTTCCAAGGTTCCTGAGAGAAAAGGGAGGTGACGATAGATAAGCTTCCTCAGGACGCTTTAATCCGCTTTAATTGCACGCCTCAATATCCCAGAATACGCTTGAACTCCTCCCAGAAAATAATGAGACTGGAGGCTCTTAAAAGGCAAAATGTTACTCAAAACCAGCAGTCTAAAACTGTTAAGCGCTGCTTTCCTTGTAGGAGCAGTCACTAAGTGGGTGGACCACAAGAAGGCAGCATGGAAACCAGTCTGAAATAATGTACGAGTTTCCTGCTCGATGTACCCTTGGGGCTGGTCAAGTTCTTACAGTGAGTGAAAATCTTCTCCTCTTCCCCTCTAAACTTTAAAATGTCAGTGTTTTACTTTGCTTACCCTTGTAAGAATATCAAACACACCACCTAATAAAGGCCCTGAAACTGGCTAAGTAACCTAGAGGGATAAAATACCGGCTTGTATACTCTACAGTGGGACGCGGGTGGCGCTGTGGGTTAAACCACAGAGCCTAGGACTTGCTGATCAGAAGGTCGGCGGTTCGAATCCCTGCGACGGGGTGAGCTCCCGTTGCTCAGTCCCTGCTCCTGCCAACCTAGCAGTTCGAAAGCACACCAGTGCAAGTAGATAAATAGGAACTGCTCCGGCGGGAAGGTAAACGGCGTTTCTGTGCGCTGCTCTGGTTCACCAGAAGCGGCTTAGTCATGCTGGCCACATGACCCAGAAGCTGTCTGCGGACAAACGCCGGCTCCCTCAGCCCATAGAGCGAGATGAGCGCCGCAACCCCAGAGTCGGTCATGACTGGACCTAATGGTCAGGGGTACCTTTACCTTTATACTCTACAGTGTTTTGGACTTGCTTAAAACAATATTGTACTGTGCCATTTATGTACATGGCATTATGTACATGGCATTTTCCTGAAGAAGAGGTCTGGCAGATCTTTGGCCTATGGGGCTTATAAAGAGGGAGGGATTTGAAAGAAGCAAGGGAGGTGGTCTCATGGAGAAGTTCTGGGACTGGAGGCAGTTGAAAGATGGCCGACAAGGGACAACAGGTGAAGCTTTTCTAAGTAGTATGGTGGGAAGCAGGCTCGGAAAAACTGTTTTAAATTCCTTCTGCCAGCCTTAAGTTTTGGGAGGCAATATTGGATGATACACCTTCCAGAACCAAATTCCTAGGGGGGGAAATCCACCTGGACTTTTAACTCCATAGGCATTAAATGTTTGTGTTGATAGTTTGGTTATATATTCATTCAATGCCTGCTGATCCATTAGAGATGGATATTGAGAACCACAAAACCCAGTTGTTTTAATTTCTATGGTCCTGATCCAGTTCTGGTGCATGCAAATAGTGGCTCCAGTTGGAGATACCTCTCCATATCTTCATCATAATTCCAACAGCGAGTTCATTGGGACCAGATGTATATAAATTTCAAGTACTATCCTTTCCCTTTGGGGGAACAATGATGGTGTTTACACTTGCTTCCACAAAGGTAAAATTGAATTCCTGTTGTAACAGTCTTCCCCATTCCATTTGATCAACATAGCTTGAGGTTTTAGTACAAAAAAGTAAAATATACATTTTCTTAAATAACTACAAATTAAGACTACATCTATACTATACTAGCGTGGATCTGTGGTTTGGTTCCATATCAATGCACGGTTGTTCGAACATAGTTGCTAAAAGAAAGAACTATAAATACAAAATAAGTATCACACACAGGAACTAAAAAGGATATAGAACTTTTCTTGCAGAAATACAAATTATTCAGTGTGCTAATACGAATGGAAGTTAAAAACATTGTAGCTGTTGTATAAGGGATTATGATTAAGATTGAAATGTAATTGGATTAAACAAGATTTTGGAAGCAAAATTAAATGAATTTATCTTACCTTGAAATCTAGCACGCGGGAGGCCACCTAAAAAGTATAATTGGCATATCAATTGGTTTATTTTTGAATGTTAATTGTAATTTGGTAATAGAATGTGACTTATATTAGATATATGTAATTGAAAATTAATAAAATTTACCAAAAAAAAAAGAAGTTTGAACATAGTTGCTGATCCAGTCATGTTGCTGTAATCAATATTGTCATTATATCTGCCTGGCATTTGACACCACAGATTTCTCCCCACAATTGCCTTTTGTTACAGGCTGATGCTTCCAGTGATATCACTTGCACAGTCAAATTTGTATAGAACTTACAAGAATCTCATCCTACGGTTGATGTTGCAATGAATCTGACTAGTGGGTGGGGAAGCATTGGACAATTTCCTGTGCAAAGGTTCTCTTTAAGCATTCAAATATGAAGATCATCTTCTTCTTTTTTCTTTGAAGATCTGGGGTGTGACAGAAAGTTCAAGCCCAGCTCCTGGTATGCTTGTCTGGAAATCCCCCAAGTCAATGAGAGGTGGAGACAGCTTTAGGATTGTACTTTTTGACTCTGCTGGAAACGTAAGTACCATACTAACATGTCCTTGCTACAATTTGATATTGTTCTTGAGTTTTATATCAGCCTTGTAAATAAGCCCACAAGTTAGTAGCCTGGGTCCCCCCCCCCCAATCTACTGTTGGCTGGCAGAGGAGATACACAACTTGGTTCCTCCAGCGGCACCGTCCTGAATTTCTGTCCTGGGCGCAGAGGAGGAATGGAACACTAGCCTAGAATCCCATGTACTCGTCTGCCTGCAATTCCTTGTTGCCTATGACTATTTAACTGCTTAAATATATCTCTGGTTTTGCAAGATTTGCCATGTTTAATGGAGAAGGGCTTCTACCTTCTGCATCAAGCAAACACCTTTTCGCTCTCTTTTTTACCATCTGTGTGTTTATTTGTACATAGCCCTTCGCCAAATGGTCCCAGAGCAGATTGCAAGAAGTGTACACTTGACAAAATTAAAATTTACATTGAAAATTTATACAGTAGAAGCACAAAACAGCAGTGTGCAGCATTTAGTATTTCTTGTTCTTCAGACAAGTGGCAGAAACAGAATATTAATGTGTTTCTCTGACATTTTATGGTTATTTTCCATAGCTTGGTAAGTTTTCCGTTTCCTTTTTTATAATTCTTTAATGTGGTCTTCATACAGATGCTTGCTGGTGTTTTATTCTTGTGTCCAGAGAATGATAGTTATTGTGTGCCTAATGAATTCTGTAAACAAATTACCTTGCAGCAAATGGCAGAAGGAAAACTCACTTACGTAGATAGAGGAGAAGGTGATGGAGAAATGGAGGTGGCTGCTGGGGAAGAAGGAATGGAGTGTCATACTCAGGCAGGTTTCATACAGGAACTCCAAAACTGAGAAATGCCAAATACTTGTATTCATATCCAGCTGAGTTGAACTGTTGCTGCTGCTTTTTAAAATAGTTAATTGATCAAAGCACAGTAATGGTTAACTGCACAGTGCACTTTTTCTCCTGACATGCCACATAAGAAGGAAAAAAATAGATGCTGTTTTTTGGGGTGGCAATCTTGTAAACTTTTACAGATAACTGAAGAACCAGGGTTGTTGCTTTGGCTCCAGCCTCGCTGTAACATTGACCTAGCTTAGCGAGAGAAGCGCTTAGCATTCTCAGAAGAGTTTTCTGGGCCTGAATGCGCAGCAGAACTGCTGTTTTTAGGTCTAATCTCATGGCACATCTTATCAAGCAAGTTGGACCTAGCTTCATGTTCATCTCTTTCCCTCCTCCTTGCCCACCCTCTCTCCAGAGAAATGAAAGTCGGACCTGCCTCATAATATAGCCAAGAGAAGATGGTGAGCATCTGTGGAAGCTTCCTCCAACCAAAATGATGCTCTACGTATATGAAAGTAACAACCTACAGAAAGAGACTCTGTTCAGCGTAGAGCCTTACTTGAACTGAAGACTCCCTAAATGGGACAGGGCAATGGTGGAGGAACCCAGATTGGAGGAACCACCAAACCCAAAGTCCTTGTCCTGGCAGGGTGGAAGTTTTTGGAAGGGGCATCCCCCTCCCTTTAGTTTTGTTCCAGTTGAGGCCAGTGAGAAGAGAAGTCTTCCAAGTATAGCAGTGCCAGGGCTGGTATACTTCTTCTCCCCCAATTCCAGAGCTATAGGGAGGGGGACGGAATTCACTGACGTACCTTGTGGTGCCTCTGTTTCCTTCTCCACTGTCTGAGCTCTGAAAGAGGGTCAGCTGCAAAGAGGTACCTTCTGTGAGTAGCCCTCCTGTTCCTTCCCAGGGACCCAAGGATTATTTATCTATACCACCTTGCTCATCACAATGAATGAAAAAACACAGTTTCAGTTTATTTCTTTACAAATTATTAACAGCCAAATTATTAACTGCATTGTAATCAGAGTGATTTCTTCCCAACTCTGTAGTGTCAACTCCCTGGGGATGAAAAGTTTGCAGACTTGTTGAAGTCAGCTGTAAGATGAAGAGCAGTCTCAAATATGTTTAGATTTGCTTTGTTTGGGATGGGAGTCTCCATGCACACAGATACTGGAATCAAATATTAACATATGTAATACCTTAAATTGTGGACAATAAACTTGATTTAGGCTGTGTAAGGACATCTTATGTAAATGAACAGGGGTCCTACCTACACCCACACGCACCAGCATATCTACCCTGCGTACCCCCCTCCACCAACCGCTTCCCTCAATTAACTAAATCCACTGTCTTCCCTTTAGAGTTATTTCTCAATGGCTCATCTGGGCCACCTGCCTCAGTCTCTCATCTCTCTTCCCTCCAGCACTGCAGCAACAGTTCTCAGAAACATAACAACATCATCATCATCATTTGGCTGTTACCACACTGTGTTTGCTTGGCTGCAAACTGCTGTATGACGACAGCCTTACCTTTTTATTATATGCAAGATATAAACACAGAAAATAACTCTTCTTCTGACCTGCTTTTTGCTTGTTTTATTATAAATATAGCAAATGGGGGGAAAAGATTAGTAGAGCATGAACAACTGGTGCAAGGCTGTGTGTGTTCAGAAAAGGTCACAGCTGGGGCACCACTGAGGTCAACTGGGATTCCCTTTCAGCAATAATGCCAAATCAAGGGGAATAGCTATAGCCCAGCAGATTGTTAGACTCCATCCCTAACCATGGGGTGGGGGTTGGAATGAAGAGAAGGGGAAGCAAAAGCTCAAGTAACATAGTGGAAACCAGCACAGTATTCTAAGAGGTAAATCTGTATATACACCTAACCGCCCCTGCAAAGTGACTGAGCAGAATAATAATAATAATAATAATTTATTTACACCCCGCCCATCTGGCTGGGTTTCCCCAGCCACTCTGGGCAGCTCCCAACAAAGTATCAAAAATACAATAAAACATCAAACATTAAAAACTTCCCTAAATAGGGCTGCCTTCAGATGTCTTCTAAAAGTCAGATAGTTGTTTACTTCCTCGACATCTGATGGGAGGGCATTCCACAGGGCAGGTGCCACTACCGAGAAGGCCCTCTGCCTGGTTCCCTGTAGCTTCACTTCTCGCAGGGAGGGAACCGTCAGAAGGCCCTCGCAGCTGGACCTCAGTGTCCAGGCTGAACAATGGGGGTGGAGACGCTCCTTAAGGTATACTGGGCTGAGGCCATCTAGGGTTTTAAAGGTCAGCGCCAACACTTTGAATTGTGCTCAGAAACGTACTGGGAGCCAACGTAGATCTTTCAGTACCAGTGTTATATGGTCTCGGCGGCCACTCCCAGTCACCAGTCTAGCTGCTGCATTCTGGATTAACTGCAGTTTCCGAGTCACCTTCAAAGGTAGCCCCACGTAGAGCGCATTGCAGTAGTCCAAGCGGGAGATAAGCAGAGCATGCACCACTCTGGCAAGACAGTCTGCAGGCAGGTAGGGTCTCAGCCTGCATACCAGGTGGAGCTGGTAGACGGCTGCCTTGGACACAGAATTAACCTGCGCCTCCATGGACAGCTGTGAGTCTAAAATGTCTCCCAGGCTGAACACCTGGTCCTTCAGGGGCACAGTTACCCCATTCAGGATCAGGGAGTCCTCCACACCAGCCCGCCCTGTGTCCCCCAAGAACAGTACTTCTGTCTTGTTGGGATTCCACCTCAGTCCATTAACAGATATTCAATATTGGGCTATACTACAAAAAGACTGAGGGTTGTAGGTATAAAAACTATGAATTGTACTTGATATGCCCTGCAACACAAACTGAAGTAGGAAATAGCATCCAACTCAACTAGTAGATGCCAATTATGAATATAATATACAATGAAACAGGAGCTGAGTTTACGTAACCACAAAAGCCACCCGTTCTCACTGTTTCTGCAATGTATTTAATTTCAGTGTAAGTTCCCCTAAGAAGTTTCCTTATTAACTACAGTGAAGTAGTGGATATTATTCTTCCAGCACTTTTTCATAAATAAAGTGAGTTGAAGTAAAAACCCACATAAAACACCATATTTTTCGCTCTATAGGACACACTTTTCCCCCTCCAAAAATTAAGGGGAAATGTGTGTGCATCCTATGGAGCGAATGCAGGCTCCTTGGCTTCAGCGATAGCAACGCGAAGCCTCCGAAGCGCAGAGGGAGCGCTCCCTCCACGCTCTGGAGACTTTGTGTTGCTTTCGCTGAAGCCTGGAGAGTGAGAGGGGTCGGTACGCAATGACCCCTCTCGCTCTCCAGGCTTCAGGGATAGCTGCCTGAAGCCTTTGGAGTGCAGCGCGAGTTCCCGCTGCGCTCCGCAGGCTTCAGGTTCCTTTCACTGAAGCCAGGAGAGCAAGACTCTCCCAGCTTCAGCAGAGAGGGAGAGCTGCGCAGCGCCCCTTCAGCCAAGCGGGAGGAGAAATGGAAGGGGCTCCGTTTCTCCTGCCGCTTCGCTGAAGGGGCGCTGAGCAGAGAGGAGAATAATTTTTTTTTCTTGTTCTCCCCCTCTAAAACAAGGTGCGTCCTATGGTCGGGTGCGTCCTATAGAGCGAAAAATACGGTATGTTTTAACTTTTTCCTAACAGCATCAGTACCCTCCTAGGAAACTGAAGTACAGTTACATGTGGATTATAGACCTCAGAAATTATTGGCAACTAGTACCAGAACGCTACAAGTTCCAAGACACAGTAAATGCGCATTTCCCACAACAGTGTTTATTACATTTGCTCAATGGAGAATCAATTTAGCTGTGACATTGACTTGGCATTTTTGTTCGGGTACAGCGCACAACAGGTATTAGCTTTTCACAGTTAGGTTGAATGTAACTAAGGTAGCTCACTGAGAACTAGCTCTTACTCACAGCAGCTTCAAAAATTGTGCCCACAAGTAAATTCACTGCAGGTAGAGGGAAGTTTCCGACATCATGCGAGGAAGTAAATGCACTTGGGAAGCAACAGTTGATCTATCAGTAAACGTACAGATCTTCAAGGCACAAAGCAAGGAATTAGGTCAGGGAAATCTGTGTGTGTTTATTTAACAAAAGGGGAGGATTTTTTTATACGAGATATATATATATGTACAAACTACATGAATACAAAATAAATACTTTTTTTTTTTTTAAAGACACATACAAAAAAGTCAGTAAGTTGGTCAAAAGAACAAGGCTTTCGTAGAATGCCACACAAATGAAAAGCCACTTTGGGGGAAAGACTTCTTTTCACTCACGAAAATGCATTTGTGACGTGAGGAGGGCAGGCTCACTGAGGCAACGGCACCACAACTTCCACGTAATTGATGGGAAAGAAGCCTGATTCGCCATTCAACATGCCTTCGAACCAGTTCTCATCGATCTGATTGGTCAGCGTGATGACGTCGCCTTCCTTAAATCCAAGCTCGCCTTCGTTTTCTGGCTCAAAGTCATATAAAGCTTGGCAGCAAGGCTGGTCCATATGTGATGAAGAACCTGCCCAGAGTCACACGAGAGAGCAATTTTTAACCTGACGTTCTGCAGGTTTTGCCCAAGATTATTCATGACAAAACAAAATTAACCCATTGTTGTAGTATTATTATGCCGACTCAGCAGAAGGCTACTTCCTATGTTCATAGCAAGTCAATATAGGAAGCTGATTTATACCAAATCAGACCCATCAGTTCAATTAACTCAGCACTGTCTACTCCAACTGGCAGCTAGATTTCAGGCAGGAGTCTCTCCCAATACCTTAAGGATCACCTCTCCCCATATGAACTGACCCAGACCCTCTGCATGTCATCTGAGGCCCTTCTCTATGTCCTCCATCCCAGAGCGGTTCGGAGGGTGGCCACAAGAGAGCCAGTGTGGTGTAGTGGTTAAGAGCAATAGACTCATAATCTGGTGAACCGGGTTCGCTTCCCCGCTCCTCCACATTCAGCTGCTGGGTGACCTTGGGCTAGTCACACTTCTTTGAAGTCTCTCAGCCTCACTCACCTCACAGAGTGTTTGTTGTGGGGGAGGAAGGGAAAGGAGAATGTTAGCCGCTTTGAGACTCCTGAAGGGGAGTGAGAAAGCGGGATATCAAATCCAAAAAAGAAAAAAGAAAAAGAGAATGTGTATTTTCTGGGACATGCTCTCCCCAGAGAGGCTTGCCTACCACCATCATTACACGTTGTCAGGTGCTGTTGCGGTTGCTCGAGAGTAACCAGGCAGGACTCCGACCTGTCATTTAAAGGTTTTATTTTGGTGCAAACTATTTACAGTGAAGAGCGTGATAAGTTCATGTCTGGCTCAATCGCTAGCAGAATCCGGGAGTAGTCTGTTTTTGTACCTCCCCCAACATAAAAGTTTCGTCACCCCTAGCCTTTTCCGCCCCTCCCTGCGCCGCAGACTACTGCGCATGATGGGCGATGGCAAGGGCGTGCTTCCCTCCTCTCCGGCTGGCTCAGGCGCGGTGTTAAGGCTCTTACTAGCATCCTCTGGTCCTTGCACCTCCTCTCCACTGGAGGTGGGGCTTTCCTCCTTGCCAGAAGAGGAACTGCTCCGCAAGATTTTCGGGGGCTCCCTGTAACACAACTGCCCTTCTATCTCTCGCCTCTGAGCCTATGGCAGTTCCCTGACACACGTCTTTAGGCACCAGGCAAAAACATTCCTTATTACCCAGGCCTATGGCTATTAATGGCCTGTGAAAGTGTGGGAAGACTGTTGTGACTATTTTATTATTAGGCTGTCTGTCAGTATGCTTTTTATTATGTCTGTATCGATGTTCTCAAGGCTTTCTTTCCAGCTGGAACTCAGTTCCGGCACCTCTCAGGTGGGCGCCGTTGCCATTACAGCCAAACCTCCGTTGTTGAACAGAATCGGTTCCGGAAGACCATTTGACTTTTTAAACGTTTGACAACCGAGGCGCGGCTTCTGACTGGTTGCAAGAGCTTCTTGCACTCAAGCGGAAGCCGCGTCGGACATTCGGGTTCTGAAAAATGTTCCAAAACCGGAGCATTTACTTCCAGGTTTTTGGCATTCGGGAGCTGAAACGTTCGAAAATGGAGTCGGTTGAGAACCGAGGTTTGACTGTATAAGAGAACAAGGCGTTCATGGCGAGTTCCGGCACCTCTTTTTCTAGAAAAATAGCACTAGGTATTCTGTACTGTGGTACCTCAGGTTACATACGCTTCAGGTTACAGACGCCGCTAACCCAGAAATAGTGCTTCAGGTTAAGAACTTTGCTTCAGGATGAGAACAGAAATCGTGCTCCAGCGGTGCAGCGGCAGCAGGAGGCCCCATTAGCTAAAGTGGTGCTTCGGGTTAAGAACAGTTTCAGGTTGAGAACAGACCTCCGGAACGAATTAAGTACTTAACCCGAGGTACCACTGTAATGTGTTTTTAATGTTGTACACCACCCTGGGATCTGATGATGATGATGATAACACAATTGTAGAGGACTGACGGTGACTACTAGCCATGAAAGCTACCATCTGCCTCCATAGTTAGAGGCACCAATGCCCCTGAATAGCAGTAGCTGGAAAACACAGGAGGGGAGAGAGCTTTTGTGCTTGAATCCTGCCAGAGACGTGTTGTTGGCCACTGTATGAACAGGCTGCTGGACTACATGGGCCACTGGCCTCATCCTCTTCTGCTCTTACGTATCTGGAGATGACAGGGATTGAACCAAGGACCTTTGCTATTTGAGACAGGTGCCTTAACACTGAGTTACAGCTCTTCCCCCATTGGTGCACAATGGTTGGACGAATGGAGCCCACGGTGGGTGGGGAGAGAGAACTGATCTTTAATGCAAGGAGGAAACTTAGGGCACATCCACACCATACATTTGAAACATATCCAACGCATATTTAAAGAAGTTGACTCACCCAAAGAATCCAGGGAACTGTAGTTTGTGAAGGGTGCTGGGAAATGAGGCCCCTTGATGGAGAAACTACAGTTCCCAGGGTTCTCTGGGGGGGGGGAGTCATGTGTGTTGGATTTGCTTTAAATGTACAGTGGTACCTCTGGTTAAGTACTTAATTCATTCCAGAGGTCCGTTCTTAACCTGAAACTGTTTTTAACCTGAAGCACCACTTTAGCTAATGGGGCCTCCTGCTGCTGCCGCGTTGCCGGAACACAATTTCTGTTCTCATCCTTAAGCAAAGTTCTTAACCCAAGGTAATATTTCTGGGTTGGCAGAGTCTGTAACCTGAAGCATCTGGAACCTGAAGCGTATGTAACCCGAGGTACCACTGTATTGTGTGGGTCTGCCTCTACAACCAGAGCATGTTGGTTCCTAAGTGATAATGTGGGGCATATTTTCAGGAAGGGGACAAGGAGCAAATTTAGTAGATAAATGTTACTGCAGGCAGACTGTCTATGTAGGTCATTAGAAACGGGAATGAAGGCAATTTATACCTTAGCCCAGAATGAAGTCAAGAGAAGGATATATTCATTTAGCAAGTTTTCATCTGCTACACATGAAGAGCTTCAAACTTAGTTTTGAGGGTTGCCAGTTTCACAAATGCATGCTCACCTGTGGATTTTATCGATGGACTGAATGAAATCCCATTGTGCTGCTGACCGTTGCTTATTTCAAGAGGTGTCCTTATCACCGGCTTTGGCTTGAATTCACGTCTTGGACGACTTGACGCTATGTTTATCCTGCAAACAGAGAAGTCAAGGGTCAAAACTCTATGACCCTGGAAGATGCAGAGAGCCATAGCTGGCAGTGTTTAAAGCAGGGGTGGGAGATCTTTGGCTCGCCAGATGTTGATGAATATGCCTCCCACCAGCCCCAGTAGTAAGCAGGTCTAGTAGTCAAGACTAGGGATGGGGGAGGGATTCAATTTAGTTCGCATCCAAAGCCAAATTTATCAGATTTCCACTTTCTGAAACAATATGGGAACTGAAGCACCACCACCCTTTGAAAATCTCAATTACCTGAATTTTAAGATGCAGTTCACCTACCAAAACGCTCACAAGAATGCATACACAGTGGTACCTTGGTTGTCGAACTTAATCCATTCTGGGAGTCTGTTCATCTCCTAGAATGGTTCAAAAACCAAGGCGCGGCTTCCGATTGGCTGCAGGAGCTTCCTGTACTCAATCGGAAGCAGCGGAAGTCGTGTCAGACATTTGGCTTCCAAAAAACATTCGCAAACCAGAATACTCACTTCCGGATTTGCGGCGTTCAGGAGCCAGAACGTCTGAGTACCAAGGCGTTTGACAACCAAAGTACGACTGTATTAGGGAAAGTGTGCATAAAAATGAATATATTAGTAAATCTAACATACGAAAATGCAGTTAGGAGAAATGGCTTGGGAAAATGTGTACATTAGTCAATGCGGCATACATAAATGTGTTGATTAGGAGGAAGTGGCAAGAAAATGCTGAAGAATTTTCATGAGGATTAAATATCTCAAATTGCTGCAGAAATGTGAAGAACTGGATTGAAGATGGGAAAAAGGAGGAATCACGAGAACTGAAATGGACTGTCCCTTCCATCCCTGTCAAGACTGATGGGAGTTGTAGTCCAACAACCTACAGAGGACAAAAGGCTCCCCACTCCTGGTTTTAAGATGAACCAGAGGTAACCTGGAGTAATTCTTACCTGTTTTGTAGCTTGCTCTGCAGATCCTCTAGAATCTCTGTAGACTGCTTATGATACTCTACTGCAGCTTCTACAAAGACTAGCAACTGGCTCACTTGCTCTATCTGAAAAGGAGGCAATGGAAAGGGAATTTATATAACAGGCTTTGCACGATGTTCCCAAATCTGAATACACAAAAAGGGGCTTGCATTGCATGACCAGGAGAAAGGGGCACCCAGCAGCCGTTATTGTTGTAGAAGACCCTAGAGCAGTCTTTGCCAACCCGGTGCCCTCCAGATGTTTGGGACAACTCCCATCAGCCTTAGCCAGCACAGTTGTTGTACAAAAAAATCTGGAGGGCACTAAGCTGGCCTAAAGAAAGGGAGGACGCAAGGAGTAAGAACTGCTGAAAGTAGGCAAGAGAGTGAGATTGATGGTACAAAAAAGGTTGCCACAATATGTGTCCACACTGGTTCTTTTCTTGGGAAGCATTAATATTAATATTATTTGTTGTTGTCGTTTAGTCGTGTCCGACTCTTCGTGACCCCATGGACCAGAGCACGCCAGGCACTCCTGTCTTCCACTGCCTCCCGCAGTTTGGTCAAACTCCTGCTGGTAGCCTTGAGAACACCATCCAACCATCTCGTCCTCTGTCGTCCCCTTCTCCTTGTGCCCTCCATCTTTCCCAACATCAGGGTCTTTTCCAGGGAGTCTTCTCTTCTCATGAGGTGGCCAGAGTATTGGAGCCTCAGCTTCACGATCTGTCCTTCCAGTGAGCACTCCGGGCTGATTTCCTTCAGAATGGATAGGTTTGATCTTCTTGCAGTCCATGGGACTCTCAAGAGTCTCCTCCAGCACCATCATTCAAAAGCATCAATTCTTCGGCGATCAGCCTTCTTTATGGTCCAGCTCTCACTTCCATACATCACTAATTAATATTATTTACTGCATATTAATATTATTTACTGCATTTATGAACCTCTTCCCACGAGACATCCTGAAGTGATTTGCAATGAAGCAACATACACAAAGCAGTCATATGTAAAAAGTTAAAACAGTTGCAGAATTAAAAACCATTATACACAAATAAAAACAGTTGAAAACATCGCATACATGAAACCAATTCCATCAAGGCAAGCCAGAAGCATCATCAGAGTCCAAGAACAAACTCCAGACAGGTCATAACACTCAAGGAGGATGCAAAGCAGAGCTGAAAGGGGATGTGGCCTGGGGAGAGTTCCAGGGGCCAGAATGAGAGACCTGGGGGCCACATTTGGCCCCGAGGCCTGAGGTTCACCATCCCAGGTGTAGACAAACCTGAGCTCGGGGAACCAATAGTCAGATTCAGCATAAGGCATCTTATCAGTGCTCCTGTCAGTGGAAAGGATGGAGTTCTCAGGATGCGGTGTGTCTTACCAGAGAAACCCAGAAATTGTTTCTTAGTAAACCACACACAGGGAACTCTGTGATAATCCTCACTTCTCTCACCAGGTGGCAGCCTTTCTAAAGCAATACAAAGAACAAAAACACAGCCATTTGTCTCTGTTTTAAAGCTGCCATTAGCCATCAACATAAAGCATAGATGATTTTAAAGAAACAGACAGGGGCAGGCAAAGGCCTACCGTTTCCTCTCTACTACAATATAGGACAGGGATTGCCAGACTTCTTTGGATTCATGGGCGCATTTGGAATTTTGAAAGGATGGTCACATCCACACCATTTAGGCCCCATCTGCACAATTTATTAAAAGTGGTACCATACCACTGTAAACAGGGGTTGGGAGTTGTTAGGAGACCCCTATTCCCCTCAGAGAGCTACAGTTCCCAGAGTCCCTTGGGAAGAGGCGCTGGCTGTTTAATCACTCAGAAAATTATAGCTCTGTGGGGGAGAAACAGGAGTCTCCTAACAACTCTCAGGGGACTACAATTCCCAGAATTCTTTGCGCAAAGCCATGAGTGTTAAAGCGGTATGGCGCCGATTTAAATGTGCTATGCAGGGGGAGCCTCAAAGCAAACACAGCCGAAGTGAGAAAGTGTTGTTGTTGTTCAGCTCAAAGGGGGCGGTTTTCTCACCACCTCGTGACAAAAGAAGGGCAGGGACTGGGGTGCTGGGATGCTCCAAGGCGTTGGCGCCACCAAGGGAAGCCCTCAAGGGCACCATGATGTCCACAGATACAGCGGCGGAGGAAGATGCTCTGGCACCTGTGGCAGCGCACCCAGGGGCAGGGCGAGGCATCCATAGGGGAAGGGTGCACTGTGGGGCCTCTGGAGTCTGCCTGCCTCCTCCCACTCAGCCGTCCTAAACCGTGGGGGAGGGGGGAGGAAGGGAGTGGGCAGACCATTTGGGCAGGAGCGATGCGTGACTTGGGCGCACTGCAGGCCCCGCGGTGAGTGCCCCCCGGCATTTTGTCACCCCCCTCAGTGGTGACACGCAGGGCGGTCCACACCCACCACACACCCCTTCCTCCACCCCTGCACAGGTACCACACTGGCAGCCCCAGATAATAACAATAACAATAACAATTTATTATTTATACCCCACCCATCTGGCTGAGTTTCCCCAGCCACTCTGGGCGGCTCCCGATCGAGTGTTAAAAACAACAAACCGCATTAAATATAAATAAATAAAGATTAACAGGTTTAAAATAAAGATATAGCACCTTTGAGACTACTGCGTACCTTCCAAAACGACACGGCCTCAATTTCCAAGGCACTACCTCCTGGGTTTCCAAAATCCCACACAAATCACATGACCCACGCAAGATCGCACACCTGGAAAAAGCACTTTTTCATGGCAATATCTCAGCCCGAAGTCATGCAAAAGCAAGGCACCCAAATTGGCCACCAATTTGGGATAAACTGGGATGTCCCAGTTTTTCCAGGGCAGTTGTTGACAGATATGATGTTGAGACCACTCCAAGGGGGCTGCATTGTATAATATATTTCTAAACTCATCAGTTCTGTATTTGGAACTGGCAAAGGAAAGTGGCTGATACACAGCCGTACAAGAACTGTATTCTCAAAGGCTGTCAACTGATTTAAGAATTTTAGGCTCCAGTCCTACACACACTTGAATTCAACAGGGCTTACTTTTGAGTAGACATTGGCTGCATTCACTTTATTGTATTTTCCTGTTGTTTCCTTATCTGTTAATTGTTTGCATTTTATGTGCTCTTTCACACAATGTAAAAGCCAATTCTGGAAATCTAGCAAAAGCTTAGCATTCATTTCTGTGTTAATTGTATCCAGAAAACAAAACCCAATTTCAGCTCCGTGGGAAAATCACGGGAGTTCTATGTTGCAATTTTACACAACAAAATATGGAGAGGTATCCTGGCATACCTTTTTTTCCCTACTATTTGAAATTTAGCTTCACATGGTGGTATATGAATCAAAAAGCCACGGTGCCATAACACAACAGGTAATGTAGTGTAAAAGGAATGCCAGAAATCAGGACAGAAGTGCCAGCTAGCATTATAACCAGGAACATTAATACAATAAACCTCATATCTAATGGCAACCAAATGGTTTGATAAAATGTTATTAACTGTTGTTTTTTTGATGTTTAAAATTGTTTTTAAATGCTTAAAATATGTTGGTTTAAGATTTTGACATTTGTCGCCCTTGGGCTCCTCTAGGAGTAAAGGCAGGATACAAATATACCAAACAAACAAACAAACTATAAACGAAATCTTCTCTATAACAGTAAAGGATCAGGAGAATGTATTATAGCAGAGCACTAAATGAATCTGGTACTATGGTTGTTTTTCATTATGTGTTCTGGGATTGTAAACATCAAGATCAAGATAATACACGCCCGCTTTTGCGTCACTGTTTACACATCTCTTTTGTATAGAGTTTGTGACTGTATGGCTTAAAAACCTTGATTGTAAAAGGTAAAGGTAAAGTTAAATGATCCCTGGACGGTTAAGTCCAGTCAAAGGTGACAATGAGGTTGTGGTGCTCATCTCGCTTTCAGGCCGAGGGAGCAGGCATTTGACCACAGACAGCTTTCTGGGTCATGCGGCCAGCAGGGCTAAACTGCTTCTGGCACAATGGGACACCATGACAGAAGCCAGAGCACACAAAAACGCTGTTTACTTTCCCACTGCAGTGGTACCTATTTATCTACTTGCACTGGTGTGCTTTTGAACTGCTAGGCTGGCAGGAGCTGGGACAGAGCAATGGGAGCTCACCCCGTAATGGGGATTCGAACCATCAACCTTCCTATCAGCAAGCCCAAGAGGCTCAGTGGTTAAACCACAGCGCCACCCGCGTCCTACTTTGATTGTACATACACACACACACACACACACACACTAGTAGTTAGGACACTGCAACCACATGGAATGCACACAAACACACCAAATCAGTCCTTGCACTCTCAAAGACCTTAAAATCAGCAAGAGGGTCTTACATCATTTTCTAAAAAGTTGAACATGCTCCTCTCTGCCAGTTCTTTGGATTCTTCGAACTTTTCCACAGCTTGCTTAACCTCCTCATCTGGTATCTTCCCTAGACGCTTCTTTTTGTAATCGTAATCTAAACGCCGGCCTTCTAGTTTCTTCAGGTGGTGCTGTGTTCAAAACAAAAAGCCAAACAAAAAGATATCCAATTGCTAAGAATCCAAATGGCAAGGAGCCCCAAATGACGTTTTGCAAGCATGTTTCGGTTAAAGACGATATTATGTTGATTTATGCACTTAGGGAAAGTCACGTGGGATGTCAGCCAAAAAACAAACACCCCTCAACCAAAGAAACCCAGCATCTGTGAACACTCCAAATACTACACAGCAATAAATCCTTTCATGCAGGACACTTCACTCAATGTGTGGGGGGGGACCTTTAGACTCCCCGAATGAGAAGCAAGAGACTGCCAAAATATGGTTTCACTTTGCATCCTGGCTTTCAGTCAAGTTCTGAATTTTTTATTATTATTCTGACTGCAGTGTGGTAGTTAACACAAGAGAGATAATGACAAACCATGGTTAACACGAGAGACATAATGCTAAACCATGGTTGCATTTGAATATGAAAAGTGGCGGTGGGGGGGAGAGCTGTGGTCCTCTAGATGGTGTTGGATGCCAACCGCCATCAGTTACAAAGAGGAACAGAGGAAACTGGAGAGGCTTAGCAGGGAGAAAAGCAAACCCTGGTTCTATCAGGTTTCTCCACAGCTATTTTATCTCTCCTTCAGCAGCTAATTTTCTCAGTGGGTGGGAGGAGGAGAAACAGGGCTCATTCACACTTTTCCTTATCCCATGTCTAGAAAGCATGAATCCAAGCAGTTTTGCCTTTCCCCTGGAAAACTTGCTCTTTAGTGCTGAATCGAAAACTTGAACCCGGAGAAAACCCGATTGACATCTGCTCCCATTCAGCAGTAAACAGTGGGTTTTCCTGGGGGAAAGCAGCAAGGAAAGTGGAAGTGTAAATGAGCCTGTAGGAGAAATTAGCTGCTAATATCGTAGCTTTCCCCAAAGTTGCTAACCATGGTTTCCCATTTTACCCAAACCAGGAAACGATAGCTATCGGAAGACTTCCTGGTTTGTTTACTTGCTTGTGCGAAGAGAGGGGTGAAGAGATTGCTAATATTTTACAATGGTTGGGAGAGAACAGGGATGATTAGCTGCTGTGGACAGAGAAGCCCTGCTAAGGCTCAGAGAGGGAAGATGTTCCCATTGCTCCAAACCAAATAGAGCTACAGCAGAATTAGAGATGCTCACGGTAAAAGTTCGGAGACACTTTGTGAAATTTCTCAAGGGATTGATGCGCCACACCTCCTGGCACATTTGAAAAGGCAAAACACGCAAGCCAGAAATAAACTCACCCCAATCTCTTTTAAATCCTTGTCTTGCAACAGCTGAAGAGGATCGATGAAGTTTTGCTTGACGTTGATGTCCAGAGAGTCTTTCACTTCGCCCATCAGCTTCATGCTCTCCCCTGAATCGATTAGGGCAGTGCCTTGTAGAGAAAAAGCAACACTCATTAAATCAAATGAGTACCATATGTGCTGTAGAAGAGGGCAAAAACCCAACAACCTAGGTATTAAAACCATATGCTCCATTGTCACCCTCTGTTCTCATAAATATGAACAGCTTTCCAATCCCCTGTATTTTCCCCTGCCCTCGTGTTGTAGGCAGGAACAGCTCACAATCCAAGCCCCCCACTTACCTTTTTTGGGGGTGGGGCCACCTTTTGTTTTCAGAAAGCCATAGGCAAGGCTTTTTTTCAGCCCTCAGCAGAACTCAGTTCTGGCACCTCTCAGGTGGGCACCATTGCCATTATAAGAGAACATGGTCAGGGGAGGAGGAAGGGGGCGGAGGGGGCAGTACGCCCCGGGTGCCACTCTGAGAGGGGTGACAAGATGGCCCCTACCTCCCCCCAGCTGTAGAGCGGCCGACTGCTCTCACGCACTGTCCGTACACGCTCCCTCTCACACAGCGACCGTATGGGCTGCTGCGCGTGAGCAGTCCGTATGGAATGCTGCTTGTATGGGTTGCTGCACATGCGCACTTCGTCCAAGCGTCGCTGTGCAAGCGGCAGCCCATACAGACTGCACATGTGCGGCATTCCTTACAAAGTGCGCACATGCGGGAAGCCGCCCATGCACAGTCCATACGGGCTGCGCTGCCCCAGGTGCCGGAGAGGGTTCCTCTGCCACTGAACATGGTGAGTTCCGGCACCTCTTTCTCTAGAAAAATAGGTGGGTGTGGTGTGGAGAAAACCACCTCACAGGCCTAATAATAATAAAAAATTTTATTTATATCCCGCCCTCCCCAGCCGAAGCCGGGCTCAGGATGGCTAACAACAATAAAATAGTGCAACATTCTAAAAACATTTCATTATAAAAATTAATTAAAATCAAATTGATGGCAACCATTAAGCTAAAGTTCTGTGAAGATTGCCAAAGGAGGGAGTCAGGCTGCCTGTCAATGTCTTCTGCCAGTCAAAGATTTTGTACTTTTAGAGGACCGTCTTTAGTATGGCAAATACATGAAATGTATCTGCCTCTGTGAGCTGTACTCTCTCACGTTCATTCTGTCTCAGCCTTGCCTCTCCTCCCTCTATTACCTCCTCCACTGTAAGCTCCATGGGGCAGGGCCTGTCTTCCCCACCACAACCACATGCCACATGCACAGGCCACAGAAGCCACATAGCTGCAGATGCTCACCAAATGCGGAGTCTTCTCCGAGTTCTCTCCCATATCGAAGCATACACTCTCCAAGCAGCCCTTCTGTCTGAGGGTACCCTGTGGCTTTCACTTGCCCTCGTATCTTGGACACGGTATTCAGCATTCCCAGCTTAGCTCTGTAGGCTTAAAAACAAAAACAAAAAAACCTCAGAGACATTGGTGAGGCATAAAAGGAATACCTAAATATCCGTTTGAAGAAAGACATATGTGCTTATTATCCCCACTTATTGGGGTAAACAGTCTGAAGTGTCGTGGCAAATTCAGAAGTGCAGGCTTCCTTCATGATAGCCACAGCCACACCACCTTCTAAGATTGTACAGTGATCTTATAATTATACCATCACCGTAATACAGTGGTACCTCTGGTTGCGAACGGGATCCGTTCCGGAGGCCCGTTTGCAACCTGAAAAGCCTTCAACCTGAAGCGCCATATCTGCACAGGTGCGCGGTGCGATTTGGCGCTTGTGCGCATGCAGCGAAACCCGGAAGTAACCCTTTCCAGTACTTCTGGGTTGCCACGGGACGCAACCTGAAAAGACATAACATGAAGCAAACATAACATAAGGTATGACTGTAATGCGATGTGCATTGCAATGAACAATGCCAATTGCCACGTGTTGCTTTCCAGCAAGATTGACTATTTTATGCGCATGTACAGGAGCAAATGATTTGGAGTGATTAAGGTGTGTTTTCCTTGATGTTCCACTGGATGTAACAGAACTTGCACACCATTCTCTTGAAACGGGAGCACCTTGTGTTTCCAGTGTTCCAAAACGTTTAGCTTTGGAACATGCAGAACAACTCTTCAGTGCTCTTCCCATGCACCTTATCCAAAGCGACCCTAGGAGCCAATCCTCAGTGGCTGTCAGGCAGCAGAGGAACCAACCCCCACGGCAGGTTGCCAGGAACAGATAAGAGAAGGAAAAGTCCTTACCATCTGCGTTTTATTCAAAATTTACAGAGAGAGGCTTGGGAATGCAGCGTTGTTCTGAGTCAATCTCCACTCCCCTTCTCTCCCACTTCTTCATTCGTCATCTCTTCTACGGGTGGCACTGAGGGCCCTTTGATTCTGAGCTCTTTGCTCTCCTACTTTTAAGGCTCGCCAGGTTCTGGGAGATGGTGGGTCTGGAATGCTTTCTAGCGATAACGTGTCAGCCAGCTGCTGCTCTGGCCCTGCCTCCTCCTCCTCTCCCATTATTTCCCAACTTTCCCCCTCATCTTCCTCTGAGCTGTGACCTCCCTCAAACCCCTGTTGTAATTCTGTCTTCTTCTTCTCTGGAAGGGTCAGGCTGCGGAGGTGGCCTCCACCATTCCTGCTCTGACCAGTCCCTGTTATTGGCTGACTCACCCTCTTTTCACTCTGATTGGATTCAATCAACGGATGAAATGACTTCTCGGTAGAAAACAACAACAACAACCCTCTCCTTTCATGCTGATTGGGTGGCTCAGGAATTATTATTATTAAATTATTATTATTATTTCATTGTTAACATTTGAACTTATATACTGCCCTATACGCGCAGGTCTCAGGACGGTTCACAGGATAAAATCAGAAAATAAAACCAAGTACGTAATCAAAATATAAACAATAACCCAATAACCTACCCCCAGCTGAAAGCTGGGACCCTGCTGCAGAAATAGTAATGAGTCTTTAGTCCTGGACCACTACACCTCTTGAAATAATACTGCCTCACATTATAAGAATATTGTTACTAGGGCAACAACGCTGTCCTCTTTTATAGGAATATTATGCCTCTTAATGCCAGGTTCTGGGGATCAAGAGCAGGAGAGTACAAAGCCATGGTTCTAAAAGCTGAGATTTACATGGAAATTTTCTTCTCTAAGAATTACCTAGGGGAAGTGCAACATAAGGAGCAGAGGGGGCTGGCTTATATTATTCTAGTATTGGTTAACAGGCAGTGGTTCTCGGAGATCTCTCTCCCACCATCTGCTACCCAAACCTTTTAACTATACACAAAGCCGTCTTTCCTATTGGGCTTACTGGCGCGTTGCGCCAGGGCGCTGGCCTCTCAGGGGCGCCCCAGTGAGTGGGTGAGCTGTGTGGCTTTGCCAGCCGCCTCCCCTTTCCCAGCTATGCCCCATCAACCATATGGCTGGCAGGCGTGCAGCTTGCATCCCAAGCCCCCACGGGAGGAGAGCGATCCCCACAGAGGCTTGGGAAAAGGTCAACAACTCTGGGAAACGGGCGGTGGCACCGCCAGAAGGATCTTTGCACCACGGCGCCAGATATGCTTAAGACAGCCCTGACTATACATCCCGGGGATAGTTACAGCCCCACTCCAATGCTAAGTATTCTTATTATTCCAAATTTCATTGAGGTCAGTGGGTGTTTTCGTGTGGGCCAAATATGTAGGATAAACTCTGTTCACCAAAGCAGACCTTTCCCAGCAAACCATCTGTAGCAAAAAGAGGTTTTAACAGACCCTGCTATGAATGTTATTTGTTCTCAAACTGCGATAGTACAAGTTCAGCTGATGAGTAATCCTGCCCCCCCCCCAGCTTCCTCTGAAAATGCACTTGGTCAGTTATGGAAAAGAAAAGAAAAGAAAAGAAAAGAAAAGTATCTGGGTGGACAGATAAGCAGTGTGTGCTGGAACCAATGAGAAAGAAATCCTTCATTTCTCAGTGCATACTATGTCTCATTTCACAGAGATACAGTGGTGCCTCGCAAGACGAAATTAATCCGTTCCGCGAGTGTCTTCGTCTAGCGGTTTTTTCGTCTTGCGAAGCAACCCTATTAGCGGCTTAGCGGATTAGCGCTATTAGCGGTTTAGCGGCTATTAAAGGCTTAGCAGCTTAGCTGCTAAAAGGCTATTAGCAGCTTAGCGGCTTAGAAAAAGGGGGGGGGAAGCGGAAAAAAATCTCAAGACTCACAAGACATTTTTGTCTTGCGAAGCAAGCCCACAGGGAAATTCGTCCTGCGAAGCAACTCAAAAACGGAAAACCCTTTCGTCTAGCGGGTTTTCCATCTTGCGAGGCATTCGTCTTGCGGGGCACCACTGTATTACATATTCACAAAGATATTGGTATATGTCAAGAATGGTACAGATTTCCGATCTAGAGGGGAGTTTCTAGATCGGTTTTTACAGGGTAATGTCACGAACAGGCAATGTTTATAACGATTCCGTGGCTGTTCATTCTGAAAACAGCAATTTCGTGTGGAAAACTCTTGACAAAACGGAAGCACGGTTCTTGCGAACATAACCTTGACTTTCACATGACTGTATCTTTAATTCACAAAAAAGGGCAGAGTGCAAAACTGCACCAGTTCCGACTGTGCAGACAATAAATAAATAAATTCACCCCCAAACTATTTTAAAGAGAAGTGTCAATGGAAAAAAGTCTTCACAAATAAAGCTACTGAGTCTACTTCAACACCGTGTAATTTCTCAGACTTTCTACATGACAATTACTTTGCGTGGCGTTTTATAGATGTCTATCCTATCTTTCAGGGCGTTTTCTGTCACAAGGCAATTTACAAACACAAAATCCCAAATGATTAAAACAGCATAAAATAGGGATGGGGATGTTGCCGGACTCCAAGTCCTATCAACCCCAACCAGCTTGACCAATGGGAATGGACGATGGGAGTTGTAGTCCATCGACATTTGGAGGGCCACAGCTCCCCCACCCCAGCACAGAACACCAGCATTTGAACAGTAACACTAACATCACAGTAGCAGCTACACATTTGCTAAAATGTGGGGATTCATAACATTAGCCAAAGGAAGACTAAATGCTATGGGTTCTGCTGGGGTGACAGGGGCCTTGGCAGCCCCCCCCCAGGATTCCAGCTGATTATATTGACCCAGATCTACATACACTGGACTCTAAGTACTGTATTCATTATATTGTGCCTCCTCCTTGAGAGGTCCGGAGGGTGGCAACACGAGAACGGGGCCTTCTCTGCAGTGGCTCCCTGTCTGTGGAATGCTCCCCCCAGGGAAGTTCACCTGGTGCCTTCATTATACACTTTTAGGCACCAGGCAAAAACGTTCCCTTTTAACCAGGCCTTGGGTTGATTTGATTGACATCCTATGCCCTTATAAAATGTGGTTCTTTCTTTTTGGGGGGGGGGTTGCTATTGGGTTGCTGTTTTTATTTTGATTATATATATTGTGGTTTTTTATTTTGATTTTTTTCTGTGAACCGCCCTGAGACCTCCAGGTATAGGGCGGTATATAAACTCTAATAATAATAATAATAATAATAATAATAATAATAATATTGTTAAGTTAAAATAAAAATAAAAAATAATAAAAAATTGTCCAGTAGCACCTTATAGACCAACTATGTTTGTTCTGGTATAAGCTTTCATGTGCATGCACACTTCTTCAGATAGCTTATACCAGAACAAACTTAGTTGGTCTATAAGATGCTACTAGACAAATTTTTATTTATTTTTATTTCGACTACGTCAGACTGACACAGCTACCCACCTGAATTATTAAGTTTAAGAGTCATTTAGTGATATATTTGTTGCACAGGTAGAAGATTGTTTCATAAGGGAAAACACAACTACAAGGCTCCCGAATGCCTTGGGAGTCAAACGTTTCAGTTCCCGAACGAGTGAAAACCGGAAGTGAGTATTCTGTTTTTCGAACGTTCTTTTGGAAGCCGAACGTCTGACGGGGCTTCCGATTGGCTGCAGGAGCTTCCTGCAGCCAATCAGAAGCCACACTTTGAAAGTTAAATGTTTCAGAAGTCAAACGGACTTCCGGAACGGATTCTGTTCGACTTCTGAGTTACGGCAGTACATCGCTAAAGATTGTTATGCAATAGACTGCACTACAAGAATCAGCTGTTGCATTGGATTCTTTTGTTGTAGAACCTTCAAACTCTGCCATCCGCTTGCATACAGGCTCTCACCATAGCAGACCAGAGTGTGTTGATTATGACCTGTATAACTCCTGATGGAAGCATGACATCCAGTGTTTGGATGTTGGGGATAGGAAAGAGCATCCATGGAGATTAAGATGGACTAGCAGCATCACCATCCCATGGACGGCACCAGAGGATGAAAAATTGCACAGTGTGTCTGCACAGAAGTGACTGGATGAAACAGAACTGATCAGGATTTCCCTTATAGAGGAGCTACTGGCAGGTAGGGGGATCAGAAATTTCATGGTGCAAAAGCATCCAGCCATGATAGGTCGTTGTGCCCAGAAGCCAAGCAAGGCCTGCATGCAGCAGATCTGATGACCTGGGTTTGCAGTGAAACATCTGGAAGAGGCTATTGGAATCATCTCTATTTACCTGGATTAGGTTGCAGATATTCAGTGGACTTTGACAGGAGTTCTGCCACAGCTTTGTTGGTGATGTCAATCTTCTGCAAGACAAACATATCAAGGCTTTTAAGGAAAATTTCATTGAAATGCCTGTTATCACTCCGTTCAGATGCACCATAAAAGCCTGCGCGTTCTGTGGAAATAACCAGAGAAGGCACCCGGTCAACTAAGTCAGAGATGGAGAACATCTGGCCTTCCAGATGCTGTTGGAAGACAACTCCCATCAGTCCCAACCATCAAGGCCAATCGTCTAGGAAGGTGGGAGTTGTAGTCCAGCAATGTCAGGAGGGTCACAGGTTCCACATCTCAGAACAAAGTAAAACTGGGACAAGTGGGTGACAAAATGAGATCATGGCAAGATAGACATTTATGTATTCTGTCCAGTAGTAAAGGTAAAAATAAAGGACCCCTGGACAGTTAAATCCAGTCAAAGGTGACTATGGGGTTGCGGCGCACATCTCGCTTTCAGGCGGAGGGAGCCGGCGTTTGTCCACAGACAGCTTTCCGGGTCATGTGGCCAGCATGACTAAACCACTTCTGGCGCAACAGGACACTGTGACGGAAGCCAGAGCACACGGAAACACCATTTACCTTCCCGCCACAGTGGTACCTATTTATCTACTTGCACTGGCATGCTATCAAACGGCTAGGTTAGCAGGAGCTGGGACAGTGCGACAGGGACTCATTCCGTCATGGGGATTCAAACCACCGACCTTCTGATCGGCAAGCCCAAGAGACTCAGTGGTTTAGTGCCACCTGCGTCCAATAGTAGAGCTGGTAAGAATGCCTAGCTGTTCGAATGGTAGGCTTTCATTTCAGGTAAACAATATTTGCTTCTTTCTATAATCTCACCCCACACTCCGTAGTTATTTTCCTTATAACATGGCAAGTTTATTTTACTATACTGATATGGTGCAATGGAAGTGAATAGCACTAATTCACGAGCGAGGATCTGCACTCAAGTCAATTATCTATTTCATCCTACCTTGTTGTGAGGGAAAAATTATAAAGATCCACTTTTGTCACCCTGAGCAACCTGAAGGAAAAACAACAACATACACATCTAACTCATACATAAAAATATAAATTGGACCTAGAACAGGTTCACGTGATCTGAATACTCATGCGGTACAGCCATGTTGGGAGTGTAGACTCTAGACTGGAAAGGAAGGAAGGTAGAGAAACCTTACTTTATCATCTGGAACCAAGGGCATGTGTTTAGCAACAATCTTTAAGCATTTCCTTAGGCTTGTCTTACCCGTTCCATCTCATGGAAATCTTCATCGAGTTTTGTTCCTTCCACTCCGCTGATTTTTTCACTGAATAGCTGCAGAAAAAAAGAAAAGCGCTTATATAGCATGAAACAAAAGCTGCACATAAGGCTAGAAAAAATGTAGGAGACCCCACACAAATCCTGTCAAAATCAAGAGTCCCCTTTAGATATTTGAGAGTGCAGTGGGTCAGAGCAGAGGCCCATCTGTCAGTCAGTCTATGCCTATGCAAAGTCCACAAGGGCAGGAGGGCAAGTGCTCTGTCTGCTGCTGTTCCCAAGTGACTGGTATCCACAGGTATGCCACCTCTCATAATGGAGAAAGCTATCATGGCTGGTAGCCACTAGGAATGGGAAAACCTATCAATTTCATTTTCTCATTCCCCCCCCCTCTCCAATTCTCCACATTTTCAGTTTACAACGTTTTTATTTTAAACCTGTCTTGAAAATCAATTAACTTTTTAGTGCTTACTTCTCTTGATTGCACACAACTTTGTCTAATATACACATCATTCCAGAGCAATTCCCCCTAATATAATGATAGAGTGGAAGAATGATGCAATCACAGTGTTAGAAGGGACCCCATGTAAATGTGATAAAAAATGGTTTAAAATTATGATATATGAAACTGCTAAAGATGAAAATCAGATAGGGGGGACTTGGGGAAGCTCACTTAACAATGTTTAGAAAAAATAAGGATAAGACAAGAATTTGTTTGTAATGTTTGTATTTCTGTTTGTATTGTTTATTTGTGTTACAAAATGAATAAAATTTTTTGGGGAAAAAAGAAGAAGAGACCCCATGGATCATCTAGTCCAACCCCCTGCAATGCAGGAATCTTTTGCCCAATGTGGGGCTCGAACCCACGACCCCGGGGTTAAGAATATCATGCTCTAGCATGGGACCAATTTACCTGCACCCGTATAGGTATCAAACCCGTGACCTTGGCGTTATCCCCACCATGCTCTAACCAAATGAGCTAACCGCATTTCTGAAATTATTTTCACTAATGCATGCATTTTAATGCACACTATACCTTAGTAGTATATGCATTTATATACGTATTACTTGGCTGGAGAACAGCATTGGGAAATACAGATAAGTGCACATTTCAAAGGATGTGCTTTGATTCATGTACCATATTTTCCCATGTATAAGACTAGGTTTTCCCCCTAAAAAAATAATGTCAAAAATTAGGAGGTGTCTTATACTCTGGGCCACCTCTCCCCATTTTCTTAAATCTGAGTCCCCAAAAATAGGGGGTGTCTTATACACGGGGGTATCTTATAGACAGAAAAATACGGTAATTTGGCTGTATCTCAGTACCAGACGTGACTGGATGATCCATTTACACCCAATGTGTAGTTAAAGTAGAATTCCTCACCCCCTGGCATAAAAGACTAGATCAAGTGGAGGGAGGTGCTTAGGGCTAACACATGCCCTTAATCATCTGATTTGTTCCACCCACCACACTCGTGGCTCTAGTCTATCCAGGCACACCATACAGAAATTACTGGAAGGAGCTTCACAACACAGTCTGATTACAGAGCCAAAGGCATCAATTAGAGCAAGCGCTCACAGCTGCAGTAACATGACATTCTTCTCCTGTTTTACTGCCTCCGGGTGGCAGCTCTGCTCCACCCAGAAGCCAAAAGGGTGTCTTAAAGATATACCGTATTTTTTGCTCTATAAGACTCACCTTTTCCCTCCTAAAAAGTAAGGGGGCTCTATAAGACTCACCTTTTCCCTCCTAAAAAGTAAGGGGAAATGTGTGTGCGTCTTATGGAGCAAATGCAGGCTGCGCAGCTATCCCAGAAGCCAGAACAGCAAGAGGGATTGCTGCTTTCACTGCGCAGTGATCCCTCTTGTTCTGGCTTCTGAGATTCATAATATTATTTTTCTTGTTTTCCTCCTCCAAAAACTAGGTGCGTCTTAGGGTCTGGTGCGTCTTATAGAGCGAAAAATATGGTACTTCAAGGCAAGAAACCTCAGCTGGGAGATGCACCGAGCCAGTTTCTGGCTGATCACTTCCACAGTGCCGGCCAAGCGATAAGGGGACCAACAGCTCACAATCTAAGCAAAACAAGGCATTCCTGAGCACTTAATCTGCTACACTGTTGAGATTCTCAAAAAAGAGGCAAGCTTCTTTTTCAGAAGATACAATTTCGAACTGTTTGTGTGTGTGAGTTATAAAGCATGTGATATCGGTAACAAAAGAACCATTGACATTAGCCGTCCGCAGGAATGTGTTCTGTGGTTTGTTCCTCCAGGAGCCCAGCCTGCACCACCCTGGCACTGTCCACATGCTTGGGGATGCAATTCCTATTAGTCCCAGCCAGGCCAGGGCTGATGGGTTTTGTAGTTCAAAAGCATCTAGCGGGTACCAGGTTGGTTAAAGCTCCAAGAGGCAATCTGTGCAAAAGAAAAGAAGATCTGTTGCTCGTTGGTAGAGCATGTACTTTTCCACATAGGGTGTTCTGTGTTCAATTCCTGGAGTCTCCAGCTGAAAAGGATCCAGCAGAAAGTGATATTATGGTCCTGCTCAATGTCTCAAGACTGCTGGCCACAGCAGACAAGGAGCACTTTACTGCTAAATTATACTTCTGCAAAGAAGGCAAGAAAGTCCTATTGCATGTCGCAGGAAACCTCCCCCCCCAATCATTCCGTTTGTACAAACTTCACACACTCACACACTACATACGCTACGCTTCTGTTATAAATTCATAGATTCAACCATACATCGGATCTGCACTGTTCCACTTTTATTTTACTCCATGAAGGAAGGACTAAAAAATGGGGAAGGTTTGATACAGGCCAGCCATAATCCCTTGAGCATACCAGCACATACATAGGAGGCCCTGCCCAGTTGCTATGCCAACCCTGATGGTCCTAGACAGAAGACCATCAAGATCACAAAGAACTTGCATATGGGAGTGGATTCAGCACGGACTAGAACAAAGGACAAGGATCAGCTCTTCCCTCTGGGGGCAGGAAACTGCAAGCTCCCCTTTGTCACCTGGAAAGTACTCATGGGGAGGGGGGGAAGGAGGAACCAGCCAGGTGACAGGACACTCAGGTTACCACCACAACTCCTCCCTCAACCCCTCCTTTTTGTGATGTAGTTGTGATGTAGTCTTAGAGGCGTAGTTTGGGGAATTAGTAACTAATAAAAGTTGGGGTCTTCTTTTGTTCTGGGCTTCCATTTTGCTTCATCATGTTGCGGGTGAGAGTCCTGTCGCGACAGTATTCAATAAAGGCCAAGCCTACAGGCTGCTGTTTTGCTCCAAGTTATCTGGGTTGGTGTCTTTGTTTTTGTCCAAGGGAGCCCTCAGATTTTTCCATTAACATGCACAACTGGAAGTTGTTCAGCTCATGCAAAGAGTTGCTTGGCGCTTCTTTGGATGCAAATGATTCCGGGCTCCATCCTCTCCACCATGCTTTATAACACCTACATGAAGCCACTGGGAGAGATCATCAGGGGGTTTGGGCTGGGTGTTCATCAGTATGCAGATGATACCCAGCTCTACCTCTCCTTTAAATCGGAACCAGTGAAGGCGGTGAAGGTCCTGTGTGTGTCTGGAGGCGGTTGGAGGATGGATGGTGGCTAACAGACTGAGGTTGAATCCTGACAAGACAGTAAAATTAATGGACTATGCAGAATTGGACAAAATGACAGGAAGGATTAAAAACCTGCAGGACCAGAGAAGATTGGAAGAGGTATATGAATTATTTGAAGAGCAACTGTAATCAACAAATTACGCTAGTAGGACTACAAGAAGTTTTGTAAGGAGAAATATACAAAGTGTTGCAAAGTAGAAAAAGATAGAGATATTGGTTATAAGTTGGAAATGTAATAGGGAAAATAAGAAATGCATACTAAGAGATTAGATTGGAAATTTTTCAGACAGGACAGGACTGATGGAAGTAAAAAAAAATTGAATAAGTTGTAAAAGTATGTTTAATTATTGTTGAAAATGGTATGTTAAAAAACTAATAAAAATTTATATAAAATAATAATCCTGACAAGACAGAAGTACTGTTTTGGGGGGACAGGAGGCAGGTAGGTATGGAGGACTCCCTGGTCCTGAATAGGGTAACTGTGCCCCTGAAGGACCAGATGCGGAGCCTGGGAGTCATTTTGTGTGTGTTTTTTAAATAATTTTTATTAAGTTTCACATTTTTTACATAGTATTAACATTTCATATAACATAAAAAGAATACAATTCCCCAACTTCCCCCCTCCTCCCACCTCAACTTCCCTCAACTTACTCTTCTGGTTTTTAACATAATAATTTCCCCTGCTTGTTTTATTATATCTTCATATTAGGTTCTTTATATCAAATGTTGTTATTCTCTTATCATTTTAACATCTTCTTTATCATTTCTGTATTTATTTTGGGAGTCATTTTGGACTCCCAGCTGTCCATGAAGGCGCAGGTCAATTCTGTGTCCAGAGCAGCTGTCTACCAGCTCCATCAGGTACGCAGGCTGAGATCCTACCTGCCCGTGGACTGTCTTGCTAGAGTGGTGCATGCTGTGCTTATCTCCCGCTTGGACTACTGCAACGCGCTCTACGTGGGGCAACCTTTGAAGGTGACCCGGAAACTACAACTAATCCAGAATGCAGCAGCTAGACTGGTGACTGGGAGCGGCCACTGAGACCACATAACACCAGTCCTAAAGAATCTTCACTGCCTCCCAGTATGTTTCCGAGCACAATTCAAAGTGTTTGTGTTGACCTTTAAAGCCCTAAACAGCCTTGGTCCAGTATACCTGAAGGAGTGTCTCCACCTCCATCATTCAGCTTGGACACTGAGGTCCACTTCCAAGGTCTTCTGGCAGTTCCCTCTGTTATGTATTCAGTGGTCTGTGTTTGCCTGAGCTTGAGTCTGGACTAAGGATTTTGAGCTCCTGTGTTATGATTCGATACAAGATGTCCAATCACAGAACATTTCAGGATTTGGGCCTCTGCCATTGGCCCTTGAACTCTGAGTTGTAATTCGCAGCTTGGAAGTTTAGACAGCCAATCACGTTGGGAGTGGGAGCGGCCCAGGCTTTCAGGAATCTATATAAGCAGTTGCTTTGCCCCCATTTCCCAGTTATGTGGTTCAATAAAGGTTCTTGCTGTTATCACTGCGTCTTGCCTCGTGGGAACCCACCTACACTTCACTCTCACCGAGAGATGTAAAGTTACAGGGAACCAGGCAGAGGGCCTTCTCTGCAGTGGCACCCTCCTTGTGGAACGCCCTCCCATCACATGTCAGGGAGATAAAGAATTACACAACTTCTAGAAAACACCTGAAGGCAGCCCTGTTTAGGGACATTTTTTTTATATACATATATTTTGCTGGAAGCTGCCCAGAGTAGTTGGGGAAACCCAGCCAGGTGGGCGAGGTATAAACAATAAAATTATTTTATTTTTATTTTATTATTATTAAGCGCCTCAGGCGGCGGGATCCACAGGGCAGCAGTTCAAGTCTCCAAGCAGGGATCAGCAAACTTTTTCAGACCTTGTGAGAGACCGGACTATATATTTTTTTTTGGGAGGGGGGGAATGAACGAATTCCTATGCCCCACAAATAACCCAGAGATCATTTTAAATAAAAGCACACATTCTACCCATGTAAAAACACCAGGCAGGCCCCAAAAATAACCAGAGATGCATTTTAAATAAAAGGGCACATTCTACTCATGTAAAATCACGCTGATTCCCAGACCGTCCGCGGGCCAGATTTAGAAGGCAACTGGACCGGATCCAGCCCTCGGCCCTTAGTTTGCCTATCCATATTCCAAGGAATGCGTCGCCTGTTCCTGCTGCCGCATGTGGCATCATCAGCTGCTTGGAGGCTGGATCTGCCGCATCCTTGGCACCCCCCATGCCACCTCCACAGTGGCCTCTTAGCAAATAGGAGGCACTGCTGGTCTCCTCCCACTCTAGCATAGCTGTCAACTTACAGATTTGAAAATAAGGGACCAGCAGCCTCGAAAATAAGGGATCAGCAGCCAAAATAAGGGATTTTAGTCAACCAGCTCCCGAGCCAAAGGCAGAAAGCCCAGCCAGCAGCCAAACGAAGCCTCAAGTGGTTCCCACAGCGCAGCAACCCGGCAAAGGGGATGCAAGAAGGAAAACCACCGTCACCTCTCTGCTGGGAAGCGCTGGGCAAAGATGAGTCCCCAGGCAACGCGCACAAGGCATGCAAGCTCCACCCCCCCAGTCATTCTTAGGCTCCTTATTGGGTGAGCAAAGCAGCCAAGCAACACAGTTAGAGCCTCCCTGGCCGGCAGGGAGGGAGGGAGAGGAGCTTTGAAACCCGGGAAATTTAAGGGACATCATCTATAAGGGACAGCAGCAGGACACAGCGCTGGGATAAGGGACTTTCCCGCCAAATAAGGGACAGTTGACAGCTATGCACTCTAGTTCCCGATGCAGATCTTTGCTCAGCCCTTGTTCCCTGGCAGGAGGAAAGAGCCATTTTGTGGTTCACCTCAGGTGCCAAAATATCTCGGCCTGGCCCTACAGCCCATTATAACCAAATGCTCGCAACCTCCAACACTTCTCCTTTTTTTGGGTTTGCTTTGCCTTGTCTCTTTTACGACGCTTCCCTACTTCACTGCCAAGCTATAAAAAGAGCCTTGCTCCTGTTAGAGGGTGTTTATTGACCTGCCATTGTGGCATTCTACCAAACAAGGAGTCTGGGTTATGTTTGTTTAGAAATTCCTCTACCTTGAAAATGGAAAATAGAAAATGACGCCACCACACAAGGAACTCTAGCAGAACATCACAAGGGAGAAAAATGATGCCCAGCATTTGTCTGGGAATTAGATAATAAAGGGGGGAGGAGACAGATGCAGAATGATGTGTTGTTACTCTCTTGCTTTCAGGGCAAAAAGCTGGCACGAAATCTTATTTGATGCACTAGGCGCTCTCCCTTCTGTTGTAGCAAGTGATTTGTTTTGTGTCTCTGTGACCTTGCTGCCTTTCGGTTGTTGAGATATTTTCCCACAGCACCACTGATACATGGTCCAGAGGCCTCAGTAGACTAACCCCATCTTTTGCTTGCCAGCAGTAAGCAAGTTTACTACAGGCCTAGATAAAAATCAGAGCTTATGCCCCCCCCAATATTGTGGGGCTCCAATTCCCATCACAACTAGCCAGGATCGTTAAAGGTAACCAGACAGAGGGCCTTCTCGGTAGTGGCGCCCACCCTGTGGAACTCTCTCCCTTCAGATGTGAAGGAAATAAGCAGCTATCCTATCTTTAAAAGACATCTGAAGGCAGCCCTGTTTAGGGAAGTTTTTAATATTGAATGCTGTACTGTTTTTAACACTTGATTGGGAGCCGCCCAGAGTGGCTGGGGAAACTCAGCCAGATGGGCGGGGTATAAATAATAAATTATTATTATTATTATTATTATTATTATTATTATTATTATTATTTAAAGAATTGTGAAAGCTGTGATCTGGTAGTATCGAGAGTAACCTTTCTAAACCTTGGGACACCCCCCGGGTGTTACTGGACTACAACTCCCATCATCCCTGACCACTGGTCCTGCTAGTTGGGATGATGGGAGTTAGAGTCCAGCTGCATCTGGGGACCCAAGGCTGAGAAAGGCTGATCTAGATGCTGCCAGATCACAGCTCCCATAATTCAATTTCATGATTCAAAACAACAGAATCTGCACACCCCATCAGGAGAAGAGCGTCAATTCCATGTGACCGAGAGCAAGCCACATTCAGAAAAGGGGTTTCCATGCATTTAGGACCATGTGTCAAAAGGGCCTTTCTTACACTCCTGAAACCAGTATGGTGCCTGGTTCTCTCTTGTGTTAAATGCAGTTAGCTTCTGGGACAGTTACACAGCAAAATTTCAGATAAAGCACAGGCAGACAAAGAGCATTTTTGTCGACAAGCGAATCAAGCAAGGTTCTGTGACGATAACACAATTTTGCACTTTCCAGGGAAGGAGTCAGTTTCCGCCAGGCTGTGCCACGTGGATCTTTTGGAATAACTTGACTGCTGATGCTTATTCTTCTCACACAACAAAAAAGTACTTTGTACTCTGAAATCTTCAAGACTTCCTTGACAAATCCCTACTGTCTTGCCTGGATGATTTACTATTCAATGATATGTGAAATGGAATATCGCAAAACGGGGGTGGGGAGAAGAGATGCCTAACATTTCAGGAAGTCATTGGTTAGTCATTTCTAGCAAACAGAATTGATGGAGGAAACCAGAAATTTACACTCTGGCATAGTCTGTAGAAACACACAAGAACTACCTTTCTGAATCTAAGCAGGCCCAGGTCTGCTCAGTGCCTGGACAGGAACCTCATGTAGGTCACTTTCAGTTCCAAATGGCAGCGGATAAACAAATATGAAACAGGGGAACTTAAAGAGAGGAACAGAGAGTTGCCACTGTTAATTTAACTAAAGAAACCATATGAATCTATACGATGGTCCAACCTGATACAACACAGTAAGGCATTGGCTTGGTGAAGAGTCATCTGGGGTTTGGTTGAATGGAGATGATGATGATGATGATGATTTTATTATTATTTATTTCATTTCCATACCGCTTTATATTTTTAAGAAAAATCTCAAAGCGGTTTACAGCATATTAAAGCATCAATAAAACAATCCAGAATCAAACATTTCTGAAGGAAGTCAAATATAGAGTATATAGTCAAAGCAACATAATTAACAGAAAACTAAAATATTATCTTAAAGATTTCAAAATAAAACCTTGCAAAGGTCAACTACAGAATACATATTTAACACAAACAAAGTTAACAAAAAAATCTTAAACATTTAAAAAAAACACCATTGCTATGTGAAGTCAAATATAAAATGCACATTTAAAACAGCATAATTAACAAGAGAATAAAATATTATCACGGCTGTTTGGCAGGCACAAAAAGATGGGGCAAAGATGGAGGCTACTGTCCCTCAAGCCTTTGCTATAGAAGAAGATTAGTGTCTGGAGCCAGCAAATTCATTTCTTTAGGAATACGGTTTTGTGTACAGATTAAGGGCTCCCCCAGACAACCTGCTTAGAATCATGGAATTATATGATTCCAATGATCATTCTAGTCCAACTCCCTGCAATGCAGGAATCTCAGCTAAAGCATCCATGACAGACGGCCATCCAACCTCTGCTTGAAAACCTCCAAGGAAGGGCAGTCCACTACCTTCCCAGGGGGTCTGTTCCACTGTCGATCAGCTTTTACTATCAGAAAGTTCTTCCTGATGTTTAGTCGGAATATGGTTGTGCTGCGCTAAAGTGCTTTAATCCACTTAAATTGTGCAAAAGCCTAAATTTCCTGTATGCCCTTGAATCCATCTTGCAAAATACTGACTGTCTGGAGGCAACCAGAGTTAGAGGCAGTATTGCAGAACAAACCAAAAATGCTCTTTTGGAGACTTGTGCTTTTAATATGGCATGCTGATATTACAATATTTTCAGTGCCAGGTTGAAACCCTCTTCTTTACCCAGGAAGTTCAGATGACATTTTAATCAGCACTTTGCCTTACCCTGTTCTTTAATTTTACATGTTTACTTTGCCTCTTATTTTTGCCTATGCTTATATGTTGTATTTCTGTGTTGGGTAAATAGTTTTATTCACAGCTTTGTACAAGACTTAGGAATCTTTGTGATCAAGGTTGGCTAAGAAATATTTTAAATAAATAGTATACACATTCAATTCCCTCCCTGCAATTTTCCTGCTATGCTCTCTGCGCATTGATGATTTACAGAAAGAGAGACTCTCTCCAATGCGGACCTTATTAAGAGACCCAGAACTGCTGAAAGACATAGATTTTTGGATCCAGTAATGTAATGTATGGCAGATCGTACATCTAATTCTTAACGAGTTTATGGAATCAAAGAATGCTGGCCAGCATTGGAAAGAGCCAGGTGCAAGCAAGATGGCGATTCTTAAAACACTTGGGAACTTGGAAGATAATTGGCTCCCTAACATCCCTGCAACTGTGTTGCATTATTCATGAAAGTCCCAGTTAGTCCACAGGGCATTCTCTGGCCCAAAGATTCATGTTGATTAAGGAACTTTGACAGGTAATTGGAAGCGGAGTTTAAAAAACAAGCTCTACCCTTAACTTGACAGATCCATAAATAAAAAGGGTATAGAAGCAGACATCTGTAAACCCAGCCTATGTCTATTAGTTTTTTTAACCAAACCAAGATATAGTTGTTGATCTAAAAATCTGACTAGCCAGAAAGGAAAATCAGTTGTGGCAAGATGAAAGGGAGAAGCCATTTAAGCCATGGGTGGAATTTAAGTGTCGAATAGTCCTGCTGGATAGCTCAGTTGGTGCTGATAACGCCAAGGTTGCAGGTTTGATCCCCATATGGGACAGCTGCATATTCCAGAAGTTGGACGAGATGATGACTCTAAAATGTGCTATTTGAAGTCATGATCCCTGATAGACGCTCCAATATCAAGTGAATAGCTATCAACAGATTTCCATTTTCAAAAAACAAGGAAACAAACAAACACACACCTACACCAGGATTTAGCGTTTGGGCACTTCCAGACTGTTGCTATTTACTACTGAGACTCAACAATGAACTGCCAAGTTCAGTTTGCACAATTAGTTGGTTTGGTGCTCTTCCACAGCACACCCACTTCCACCAGCCCCAAACCCACACTTTTAGCAACACAGAAAGGGCCAGGAAAATGCAGTGGGAACACTGGGGTAGCGCAACATAATCTCACCTCCTTGTAAACAATAAAAAGGTAAAGGGACCCCTGACCATTAGGTCCAGTAGCGGACAACTCTGGGGTTGCGGCGCTCATCTCACTTTACTGGCCGAGGGAACCGGCGTACAGCTTCCGGGTCATGTGGGCAGCATGACTAAGCCACTTCCGGCGAACCAGAGCAGCGCACAGAAACACTGTTTACCTTCCCACCGCAGCGGTACCTATTTATCTACTTGCACTTGATGTGCTTTCCAACTGCTAGGTTGGCAGGAGCATGTAAACAATAGGTGTTCAATAAATAGTCAGCATCGGCCAACAAATCAATGTTCCATTAACAGGTCATCTAGAAGAGACCTATGTAAAGATCAGCTGTTGGCTTAATGGATGGAGTTGAAGCCATGACCCAGGAAATCCCCCAGTTCACCCTAGCTGCTAGCTCAGGATGAATGCCTTAGGCAAGCCAATATAACTCAGATTCAGATTCCATCCACAGTATGTAAATACCCAAACTGGCCCACCTTACAAGATTGTTGTGAGGAATACTAAGAAGCAAAATATTGTGTATTTTAAATTATAACCTAAAGCCAACTGATGGATCTAAACATTGTGCTAAGAAGACCAGTACTTAAAAGGCTCTGATCCCTTGGCCATCTCAGTTGCATGGCGAGACCCCGCAGCCCCCCCCCTCGTTGGAAATAACTCACACAAGGACACGGATATTAGGTTTATGTTATTGGGCAAATTTTGGCCACAACTTTGTTGAAATTGCAGAATGTGAGCGGTTTTGGCTTAGGCATTGATTGGGCCTGACTATATCTGACTCCTGCCCATTGTGCAGGAAGTCCAGTAAGGGTAAGCCACCGGTAGGGGGAGCCCTGTTGATGCGAACCAACTCAAGCTCCCCCTGGTGTTCCCGTCGGGGTTGTGTCAAGGCCTTAGCCCCCCATCCGGGCTTCGGACTAGATCAACACCCCTGGATTCCTTTAATGGAATACCCTTAAGCATGGAGGGGCAGGTGATGGCCACACCTCCCCTCCCCCACACAAGGTCAAACAATGCCTAACCGCAACCCTAACAAAGTTGTGACGATTGCTATGAGGTAGGCGAAAACCAAGTGGCCAGTGCCAATTTGCCAAGTGGAAAAATTCCTGCCAGGCCCCTCGGACAACCAAGGCGACCAACCGAAGTCCATAGCAAGGCCATTGCCTAACCTGCAAAATAGGGAGAGAGGGCGGGTGACTGAGGAAGCAAGCCAAAGAGGAAGTCTTCTGGCTTGCTCTTCCGTTTAAACAGCCCCGGCCACCCCCCTGGCCAGCGGATTGGCTGGCCGGGCTCTGACGTGGCGGGGATCCCCCAGGCAACGGGGGGGCAAAGTCCCCTGCCCCCGGTGGGGAGTGGGTGGCCATGCGGTCCGCCGCAACTCCTCCCCACTGGGGAAGTGGAGTGGATTTGTCGCTTTCCAGCTCTTCAATGTCCTTTCAACCAGAATTGTGCATAGCATTCCAAGTGCGACACTTTTTCTTAGCTTCTTCTTTTGTTACGCCTTTGATCAATCCAGAGTCTTTGTTCTGAGGGTTTTAAAAGAAAGCTCAGCAGGAATCATATGCTTCCCGAGGCAAGCTCACCTTTCATTCTTCCGACTGTTCCTTTTGTGCATTCTCATCTCCCCTTTCAGAATTCACTTCTATTTTGCCAACTTAACTTAAACCGACACCATACATTTGCTTGGGATAACTGGGCATGTTCTGAATAGCTTCCAAGCAACCACAGAGAAATCTGATTTGTAAACAGTCTGATTTGCAGTATGACAGAGGTTTATAAATGAAGCTGGTGCAGAGAAGGAAAGAGCACTTTTGCTCCTCTCAAGAGTAACCAGAAGCTGAGGGTCATCTAATGGAGCTGGCAGGAGATACAGGACAAGAAATAAACTCCTCCACACAGCACATCATTAATTTACAGAATTCATTGGCACCAAAATTGGTGTTTGCCATCAACAAGCACCACCAAGAACACGATATATTTCAAGCACAAACAATGCACATTGCTTCCTCAAAAGAATAACATTTAAAGAATCCTGGAAGCTGTAGTTTGTTAAGGGTGCTGAGAGTTGTTAGAAGAACCCAATTCCCCTAACAGAACTACAATTCCCAGAGTTCCATAGGAAGAGAAGTTCGTTGTTAAACACTCTTGGAACTGTAGCTCTGGAGGTATATAGGTGCCTCCTTTAACTAATCACAGTTCCCAGAATTCTTTGGGGGAAGCCATGACTGCTTAAAGTGGTATCATAGTGTGAATGTGGTCTATATGTAACTGGGAACAAAGTGTAGTGTCCACAGCTACAAGTACTGTACTCATCTGAGAAACTCAAGAATTGGAATGATCAACCATCAAAAAGCAGGGTATGAACTTCAGACACCAGTAAATATAATGACCCAGAATTCTCTGGGGGAAATCACGACTGTTTAAGCTTCCTTTGTAGTGCTTTAAATACCGTATTTTTCACTCTATAAGATGCACCAGACCACAAGACGCACCTAGTTTTTGGAGGAGGAAAACAAGAAAAAAAATATTCTGAATCTCAGAAGCCAGAACAGCAAAAGGGATCGCTGCGCAGTGAAAGCAGCAATCCCTCTTGCTGTTCTGGCTTCTGGGATAGCTGCGCAGCCTGCATTCGCTCCATAAGACGCACACACATTTCCCCTTACTTTTTAGGAGGCAAAAAGTGAGTCTTATAGAGTAAAAAATATGGTATATAGTGTGAATGTAGCAATATCCATCCTGTAGCTGAGACTAAAATCTGACTGAATGGTGAAACATCCAGTCTACATTTTTTTTTCTTTTTTTCAATTTTGTCCTCATCCCCCATCCACTTCCTAGTTTGTGTAACCTTTCGCCTGATGCAGAGTTCTGGGGGACCTTGAAAACTTGCTGCTGCTGAACTAACATCTTCTTCTGTTAAACAGTTGTTCACCACAGTTAGGAGCAATCGTGGGCCCATTTTTCCAACGGAGGACCTTTACATAGATGAATCCTTCTGCAATCCACCTACCACCAGCCCCAACAGCTGCTCCTCTAGAGCTCCCAGATGGCAAATGTTTACGCAGCATCAATGCTCTGCTAGCTTGCAAACCAGCAGGGGGTCAAAATCTTTAAACTGTTTTAGCAGAAGATGCTGCCCCAGTGCGTGGGCCTGCGCAGCAGGAGGCTCAAACCCCCATTGTTTCACATCCCTAATTTTATAGACACCCTGTTGGGAAGAGGTCAGATTTAATCACCGCAAAGGCAATGGTTTTGGTTTTTTTTTAATATGTAGATACACCCTGTTTCACAGAGTTCATACAGACCAGGACTAATTAAATCTATCATGTAAGAGAGGCTGAGCCATTCCTATTTTGGAAAACAGATGGAACTAGGTCCCAAAACACATCTCTGTACTGAGATACGTGTTTAAAGATAAGGCATCTAACTGCAGCTCCCTGTCCAGAAGAAGAACATGGGGAGCTCCAAACAAAGCAGGGTGCACGTGCTGGGCCTGTCATCAATGATCCAGGAGACCCCACTGTGCATGAATCGAGTTCTTGGGTCAGCAGGGAGATTCTATCCATGCTTGCCTGAATGCTGTTAAGACACTCCTTGGAGATCTCTGTGCTCACCACTTGAAAGGTCAGGAGTGGACAGCATGTAGCCAGCACACATGGAGACTTTGACAGTGGAAAGTGCCCCCCCACACCCCGCAATTCCTGGATATGGTTGAGGGTTTACACGTTCTTTTGAATGTCTAGGGAGGGATAGCATTGAAGGGAGAACAATCCATCGCCATACCCATGGGCATTCATTGTGCATTATCATCATCATCATCATCGTATTTTTCGCTCCACAAGATGCACTTTTTTATTCGTTGTAACGTGGTTACACATTGGATCCTCAGGATTTTTGCATTGGGTCACCCCAAATTCACCATCAGATCACATAGCATGTCCAAGGCTACAGCCTGCACCAAAAAAATCACACACCCACTGTTGCGTGGGGCCGCAATGGCGCAAAAACGTGGTTACAAAGCACAGATCCACATGGATTCTCAGGTTTTTTGCATTGGGCTACCCCAATCTCACCGTCAAATCACATGTCTGTGACCACAGCATGAATCACAAAAATCATACATCCACGGTTTCGTTCAGAATATTTTTTTTCTTATTTTCCTCCTCTAAATACTAGGTGCGTCTTATGGTCAGGTGCGTCTTATGGAGCGAAAAATGCGGTGATGATTGAATTTATATACCGCCCTATACTCAGGGGTCTCAGGGCAGTTCACAGAATTATTACTTATATCCATAGATAAAAGAACCAATCACACAAAGTCATACAGTTCAGATCAATATTATTCAACCTCCATTGCAAATCAGGTTTATTGTCAAAATTTACAGGCTTTCAGCTGTTTGCAATGAACAAATCAAACAAAAGCAACTAAAATAGCTCAACACAACAGATGCTTCAAGTGGTTCCCCCAAATTCAGCTGAAATTGCAACTTATACTGGCTTCTCTAATCTATTATTCAACTCAAACAGGTGTTCTCTCCAGCACACCTGATGCAACTGCAACTAATCAATATTTGGGAGTGTGTGAAGAGACCTCAGCCCCTAGGAGTTGGCTCCCATACATGGAAAAATTGATCCAAGGGAATGCAGCCATCAGGATAAAAAATGACCACCACCCCCAATGGATTTATGGCATGCCTTTCTCTGGTGTCATTACAGATGAGGAGTGAGCTGTACACCGTAAACAAGCCAAGGGGCAAATGGCGGCTGAGCCACACCCACCACTGTGAGGCCTGAGGAGGTGATGATGATGATGTCTCCGCAGCTGCTGCTATTGGCTGTGGACTTCATGTGATGTCACATGTGAAGCACATGGCAGCTCAGTGGATATACAAAAGCAGCCCAAGAGGAATGCCAAGGCAAAAGCTTGAGGAGGACACAGTGGACAACAGCTGTGTTATTCAACACTTGGTGCCTCCTTCCACAGGGAGGCGAAGCGGCAGATGGAAGGAGGTAATCATCCATCAATGGGATGCTGTGAAGCAACGAGAAGGCAAGTGGACCTGCTGGGCAGGATTGCGGCGTGAAAGCGGCTGATATCCATGGCTGGGAGCTGGCGATGGACCTGGCAGAAGCTGGCAGTCAGGGGTGTAGGGACAGTCCGCCCTGGGTTCCCTCACTGAGGGGGGTGACATTCGGCGTGCCGCCCACCCGCGACTCCCAAGCCTACCATGAGCTGTGGAATTCCCCCTTCCCTCTTCATTTTGATAGCTTGGGAGTTGTGGGCTGACGGTGCACCAAATGTCCACCATGGATGGCACGCTCCGCCCCCATGAGTGGCTCGCTCCGCCCCTGGCTGCAGGGCGTGCACCCTAGTGGCTATCCCGGGAGGGCACTCTCTGCGCCACACCCCCCTCGAGAGAGCGCCCGCCCTGGGCAGCACGGGCATACGCTCAGCCGCTGCTGGCAGTTGTTGCTGGACGGAAGCTGATGTGATTTATATTTAAATCTTTGAATAGCTTGGGAAGTGGATATAGGCTGTAGGGTTAGAAGTAGAAGATACTGTATTTTAAAATAGTATTATTTGTAAGTGATAAAATGTGAAGTTATTTTAAGTGTGATTAAAAAAAAGAAGATGGTTAGAAATTATGATATATGAAAACTACTAAAGATGACGTAAAATGAAAATCAGATAGGTGGGACTTGGGGAAGCCCACTTAACAATGTTTAGAAAAATAAGGATATGACAAGAATTTGTTTGTATTGTTTGTTGTTTTGTTTGTGTTCTTTATTTGTGTTATGAAATGGGGAAAAAATGGAAAAAAAGGAAGCTGATATGATTAGCATGTGGAAGCCCAGGATGTTGCATGGCTGAAGTTTGTGCATGTAAGCTGTTTGAAATTCACCTTCAGAAGGCTGTTGACAAAAGCTGTGTGGATATTTGTGGATTGATGCTGGGGTAAGTTTGAATGGAGTGTAGACACAGGTCACAGCATTCCTGAGAATTACGTGTTCAGAGCGTAGTGTTGGCTGCCCTCTGAGTGAATGAACCACTGGATATTCATGGGTGGAAGTTGGCAGGCTGGTCAGTGGAGATGCCTGGATGATACTGTTGAATGAGGGCCCTTCCCTTCACCGTATCTGTGTTTGCCTTTCATGGATGTCAGAAGTTGATGAGGCTTTCCTCAAAAGCACCCATGAAAGCAATGAAGGCGACAACAGATCCTAAGCTACTTCCAAGTCTACTTCTAATCAATGAATTTCTAAATACATCTAAGTAACGTTCATGACATTCCGCTTTCCAGTACTGGGATGGGAGGCTATGCAGATGCATCCCTAGCAGTTGCCGCTGGCTACAAACTTCCTGTGATGTCACAAACGCACATGGTGGCTGAGGGGAAAGAGGCAGTTACTAGTGGGAGGAGGGTGGAAGAAGGAAGAAACCCCAGTAGAAGGTTCAGGGGAAGTTGGGGTAGGCAGGGCCAACTGGATATTGCGAAGTTGAATACGGGTTGACTCCCTTCTGTCTACAGTGGTACCTCGGGTTACATATGCTTCAGGTTACATACGCTTCAAGTTACAGACTTTGCTAACCCAGAAATAGTACCTCAGGTAAAGAACTTTGCTTCAGGACGAGAACAGAAATCGTGCTCTGGCGGCGCGGCGGCAGCAGGAGGCCCCATTAGCTAAAGTGGTGCTTCAGGTTAAGAACAGTTTCAGATTAAGAACGGACCTCTGGAACGAATTAAGTACTTAACCTGAGGTACCACTGTACTTGCGTTGCCAACGCTTTGTTCTCTCAGGGCTCCTGTACCTGTCTCACCCAGATCGCTTTGCAAAGCCCCAACCCCAGCCCGCCAGGCATTCTCCAGGGGCCCAGAGAACTGCAGAGAAGTTTCTGCAGCTGCATTAGACTTTCTGCATCCTCCTTTCCAAGACAAGCCAGTTTATGGAGGCTGTAGGGACACTGAGTTGCAGAATAGGTGGATAGAGGAGGGAATCAGCAATGCCCCTTGTGAGTTGGAATCTAACAACATCCAGAGAGCACCAGATTGGGAAAGGCTGCTTTAAACAAACAGAACTCGCAGTTGATCAGGAAGGACCTGATCTTACCTCTGAAATGTTTTGTTTTTTTCTATTACGAAAGCCTTAACAAACAAACAAAAACTGAAAGCCAGCCTTTGATAGGAAACAAGTAATACCCTGCAGTGTTAAGGGTGTTATAACGATGCAAGATTGATCAAAAGGGAAACTTCATGTAGCATTCTAAAAGTATGTTGCGTTTTTATCTTGTGAACTGCCCTGAAATAATAATAATAATTTATTTTATTTATACCCCACCCATCTGTCTGGGTTTCCCCAGCCACGCTGGGCGGCTTCCAACAGAACATTCAAAACACGATAAAAGATCAAACATTAAAAACTCCCCTAAACAAGGCTGCCTTCAGATGTCTTCTAAAAGTCAGATAGTTGTTTATTTCCTTGACATCTGATGCGAGGGCATTCCACAGGGCGGGCGCCACTACCGAGAAGGCCCTCTGCCTGGTTCCCTGTAACCTCACTTCTTGCGGATAAAGGGCAGGACATGAATTAAATTAGATGATTGAATGAAAGAATGATTGGGGGGCCCCTACTTTGACCTCAAGGGACAAAATGTATCCTTACCCATTGCATCAGAATATCTTATGATGACACAGTGTGAGATTTACCGTATTTTTTTGCTGTGGTAGCATGATTTGAACTCAAGCAAACATTTCTTAACCACAGTCATTGGTGTGGTGTCAGACTAGGCTAAACAGCTAAAAATAATAATAGCAATAATAAACACTGCAGCCCAAGATTCTAAGGAGCCATCTTAATACACCCTGAATAATCGAAGGGCAGAGTAGAAATTAACAACGGCACTGGACCTCAGTGTCCGGGCTGAACGATGAGGGTGGAGATGCTCTTTCAGGTATACTGGGCCAAGGTCGTTCAGGGCTTTAAAGGTCAGCACCAACACTTTGAATTGGAAACTTACTGGAAGCCAATGCAGGTCTCTGAGGACCGGTGTTATATGGTCTCGGTGGCCACTCCCAGCCACCAATCTAGCTGCCGCATTCTGGATGAATTGCAGTTTCTGAGTCACCTTCAAAGGTAGCCCCACTGTTAGATGGGGATTGTCAGCCAGTCAGATAGGGACCGGGGGAGAAAGAGATCTGTGCTGATAGGGATTATAGGGGTTAGCTAGGGACGGCATCCTGGTTTGATTTCCTGAGGGGAAAATAAAAATCCTAGAAGAGGCTGGAGAAGTGTTGCTGGTATAGTAACAGTAATAGCCATTCTAGGTAGGGAGCATCTATCCCAAGTCTGTTGTTGTTGTTTAGTCGTGTCCGACTCTTCGTGACCCCATGGACCAGAGCACGCCAGGCACTCCTGTCTTCCACTGCCTCCCGCAGTTTGGGCAAACTCATGTTGGTAGCTTCAAGAACAGTGTCCAACCATCCCGTCCTCTGTCATCCCCTTCTCCTTGTGCCCTCCATCTTTCCCAACATCAGGGTCTTTTCCAGGGAGTCTTCTCTTCTCATGAGGTGGCCAAAGTATTGGAGCCTCAGCTTCACGATCTGTCCTTCCAGTGAGCACTCAGGGCTGATTTCCTTCAGAATGGATAGGTTTGATCTTCTTGCAGTCCATGGGACTCTCAAGAGTCTCCTCCAGCACCATAATTCAAAAGCATCAATTCTTCGGCGATCAGCCTTCTTTATGGTCCAGTTCTCACTTCCCAAGTCTAGGTTTTAGTAAGAGTGCTGAGGTTTTAAAGTTTTCTGTTAGGAGCACTTGCCTGAAACTAAGTATTGTGGCTTCCATGAGTAACCATCAAGCTTAAAACTTTCCTTAGGGCTCAATCACAATCACAATTCCTTAGGGCTTGTCCTGCTACCTTTCTCCTGGGAAAACCTGCTGTTTACTGCTGAATGGAAACAATCATCAATCAGTTTTGCCCTGGGAAAGTGGTAGGACAAATGAAAAACCTCTCAGACCTGTCTACTAGAAAGCATGAGATAACTTCTTGGACCCGCGCTTTCTAGGTGCAAGACAAGCAGAAGTGTGGACAAGCCCTGATTGTAATTAAATTCAATGTCAAATTCCCCCCAGCCCAGCACCCAAAAAAGTGGCTCCTCATTAGTTTTAAGTTTCTGAGTGGGGAGTAAGTGGACAAAGGTATCCTTCACATAAGCAAAACACTTGGTTGCCATGTAATAAAAAGTGCTGCAGCAAACAATTCAAGCAGACCTCTCTCTAGTGGCTCCCGAACGATCAAAAACCAGAAAACCAGAAGTGAGTGTTCCAGTTTTCAAATGCTCTTTGCAACCCGAACGTCTGACATGACTTCCACAGCTTCCGATTGGCTGCAGGAAGTTCCCGCAGCCAATGAGAAGCCATGCCTTGGTTCCCAAATGTTTTGGAAGTCGAATGTTCAACTTCCAAGGTACGTCTGTAATTGACTCAGTGTAGCTGAGTCCTCTATCCCAGTCTCCACGCATCAGCACTGGTGACCACACGCTTGAGATGGTAGACGATTCTGTTGACCTGGGCTCCACCATGACCAGCTCAATCAAAGCTGAGCTGGTCAAGCATATTGGAAAGCTACAGCAATGGCTTGCTCCTCCAGAAGGCTATGGGAAAATAACATTGAATACCAAGATGAAGATCTACCAGGCTTGAGTGTTGAGCATGCTGGTTTATGGAAGTGAGTTGTGGGCAACTTGTACCAGCCAGGAGTTAGACTTCAACACCTTCCATATGTACTGCATCAGGAAGATTTTGGGCATCAATTGGCAAGACAGAGTCTCAAACCAATATGTGCTCTCCCAAGACCACATTCCCAGAATATTCACACTTCTGCCTCAACAACGTCTACGCTGGCTTGATCATGCCAGCGTTTCTAAGTTTCATGGCTTGGAAGATGACAGGATCTCCAGGGGAATGCTGTATGGGGATCAGGTTTCCGACACCAGGTCCATTGGCAGACCAACTCATCATTACAATGGTACGTCGGGTTACATATGCTTCAGGTTACATTTGCTTCAGGTTACACACTCCGCTAACCCAGAAATAGTACCTCGGGTTAAGAACTTTGCTTCAGGATGAGAACAGAAATCACGCAGTGGCAGCAGCAGGAGGCCCCATTAGCTAAAGTGGTGCTTCAGGTTAAGAACAGTTTCAGGTTAAGAACGGACCTCCAGAACGAATTAAGTACTTTACCTGAGGTACCACTGTACGAAGATGTCTGCAAACATGACACGAAGGCTGGAAACATCAATCCCGCCCCGCCCCTCCCCATGTGGAAATCCCTTGCAGATGGCCGCCGCGCCTGGATCAGTCAGGTTGTGTGTCCACAGCAGTGACCAAAGGAGGGATGACCACTGGGAGAAAGAAGAAATGCCATGGGACGCTTGCATTGCCACAAGTGGACGGATGCCTTCCCCTCAATTATATGTGATCGAATCCCACCAGAAAACAGTGCAACACAAAGGTTTAAGAGAACAAAGGGAGCTCAGACAAGTCTGAGCAGCCTGCTAATTGAGCCCAGAAAAAAAACTTATCACCAAAGTCATTTGAAACCATTTTACAGGCATCTCTGCCCACACATGCCTATGTTAGTCATTTATTTGCAGTACATTCTCAACCAGAAGGGGAAGGAATGCCACTATACCAACATGCAAAGAGTTGCAAGCCAGTTCATCTTGTTTTCACACACTATAGTCCAGAATGGTGGACCAAGATGGGGAAGGCTAAGGTTCAAGTTGCCACTCAGCCATGAAACTAGTTGACTTTAGTTAAAAGCCTCCTCGGGATTGGATTTGGATATATAAACGGGATAACGAGCAATATTTATCTCTAATCCATATCTCAAAATTCTCCCGTTGGTACTATTTGCTGAAATCTAACTACACCAAAGCTCAATTCTTGCAGTCACTTACCTTTGCCTCCCTGAGAACTGCATTTACAGCTCCCCGTTTTGAAACAATGCCTACATCAGTCTTGAGTGGAAGGTACGGAAAAGTTCCAAGACATTTAAGACTTTGTATTTGTGGGGTAGGTGAGGTGGAAGAAATCCCCCATTATATACTCCATTGTCAAAACCCCAGAAAGAGATTTTTGGAACAGATGTTGGCACCGCTACAGGGACAGAACTCTGACGTGAAAATATATTATCTGATTGCGATCCCCTTGTCACAAACAAAACAGCCCTATTTGCTAAAGCCGCTAAAAGTATTCATGCTAGCTATATAAAAGACAATGCCATCGACTGTGCAGGCAATTCATTAATTTGACTTATTGTAAGTGGATGTATATCTCTGAATTTCTTTTAACAGGCTTTAATTGACTTGTTGGATATGTAATCGAATTTGTAATGGCTTTTAGTCAAACACAATAAATGATTGGATTGGAAATCGTTGACTTTGGGCCAGTCAACTATTTCTTGGCCTAAACTATCACAGAACTGGGAAAAACTGGCGTGGGGTGGGGGAGAAGAATCAGGTATGTGCCCTTGAGATCCTTGGAAGAAAGGTGGAATATATATCTAATTAACAAACTGTTGGCAAGTTAGAGGTCTGTTTTAGAAGCCCAAGTTTGAAAGGCACTCTCACACTTTGAGCATTTGTGGCCAAATGGTCACATTGACACACAGAAGGTTCAATTTCTGGCATCTCCAGGTAGGACTAGGAAAGAGTACCTGCATGAGACCCTGAAGAGCTCCTGCCAGTCTGTGCAGACATCACTGAGCTGAATAGAGGCAGTTTCCAACACCAAGATGGACTGGGTCATTTCAAATCACTTTAAAGCTTCGCAGCACAACAAACCACCAGCTAAGCATGCTGCAAAGAATTAATACGAAGATACCTTTCTCTTTGGCAATGGAAGAAAAGGAAACCAGCCTTTGAGGAAAGAAGGGGCAACTTATTCGTGAAGGGTTAGTGGGAAAATAGAAGAGAGGAAGAGATACAAGCAAACATCAGTAAAGAAGAAGATAATAGCATCCTAGCAGATGGAAAAAAGGTAAGGGGCAGTTAAAAGTCTGTAGAGGATTATGAAGTCCATTCACTAACGTACAACAAGGGTGGTTGTTGTTTAGTTGTTTAGTCGTGTCCGACTCTTCGTGACCCCATGGACCAGAGCACGCCAGGCACTCCTGTCTTCCACTGCCTCCCACAGTTTGGTCAAACTCATGCTGGCAGCTTCAAGAACACTGTTCAATCATCTCGTCCTCTGTCGTCCCCTTCTCCTTGTGCCCTCCATCTTTCCCAACATCAGGGTCTTTTCCAGGGAGTCTTCTCTTCTAATGAGGTGGCCAGAGTATTGGCGGCAGCTTCAGGATCTGTCCTCCCAGTGAGCACTCAGGGCTGATTTCCTTCAAAATGGAGAGGTTTGATCTTCTTGCAGTCCATGGGACTCTCAAGAGTCTCCTCCAGCACCATAATTCAAAAGCATCAATTCTTCGGCGATCAGCCTTCTTGATGGTCCAGCTCTCACTTCCATACATCACTACTGGGAAAACCATGGCTTTAACGTATTTTTCGCTCTATAACACGCACCTGACCATTACACGCACATAGTTTTTAGAGGACGAAAATCCGTAGGCATGCCACCCGTAGGCATTCCCTCCATAACACGCACAGACATTTCCCCTTAATCTGTGATATTTTAGTGTATTTTTGGTTTCTATGGAAGCCGGCCAGAGTGGCTGGGGAAACCCAGCCAGATGGGCGGGGTACAAATAAATTATTATTATTATTATTATTATTATTATTATTATTATTAATTATTATTATTTTAGGAGGAAAAAAGTGAGTGTTATGGTGCAAAAAATACGGTATACGGCAGGGAGCCTTTTTTAGTCCACCTCTTGCACCCTTAAGCAAGCCAAAGATACCAGGGTTGAAAGCCCACATTTGTTCCAGTCATCCATAAATGTTCGAGGAGGATGTGAGGCAGGGCTGGTGAGTCAAGTGAGGGTTCTGAGGGCCACATAGAGAGGCCAGGACAGCTCAAGGCTGCCCATCTCTGACGTCCAGGATTGAGGGAGGCTGAGAGAGGCAAACAAGACTTCTCTTTCAGAAAAATACAAATCCACAGCAAATCTAAACCAAAAACACAATATCCCCTCCAAAGCACGAAGCACTGGAAAACACACACCACAGAACCTCGTAGAAACCAACCAGCATGTTGATCTGGAGATCTACCAACCAACATCATTAGCATATAATGGGCACCGAGCCCAATCAGCCAAGATGGTCTGTTTAATTCCCATGCGTTAGACTAAGCAGGACTATGGAGCGAGGGGTGGACAACACAGAAACATGGGCTTAATGGCATACAAATATAGGACCTAGCACAAGAGCAAGTGAGGCCTGGAAATACAGAATCAGAAATAATAACCACCCCTCCAATGCTATTATGGCACGGAAGATGGAAGGGAAGAATTAAACAGATATAGGTTGCTTACTCAAGAGCAAGTTCCATCATACAATAACAGAGCTTAATCCAGAGTAAGCATGATCACCTCCAGAGGAGGGGGAAAGTTGAATTCCCTGAGATGGGTTACCCAAGAGCTAAACTGGATATGGCAAAGGAGTTGCTACGTCTGGGAGAGCAGGAAAAGGATTGCCCAAAGTGATATCTGGACTTCCTTTCCTCACCTCTCCCCACATTTTCTCTCTCTCTCGCTCTCTGCATACAACAATGTGTGCCCTAAATGCGTACAAACATCACAAGCTTGGCATTTGCAAAATAGGCATCTGGCTACAGGGGTCCATGGGGGACCGGTGACTGGCTACAACTCTTTTCTGAGCAAACACAAATTCTCTCCCACATAACGTGCAAAACGGCCCAGGAAAAGAGTCCAGGTCTAATGCACCCAAGAAAATCTGATGGGGAAATCCAACGGGCAGCACATCCCCCGAGATCCTCAGATGGAGCAATTCACTGGGGATACGCAGAACATCTACTCTGCATATCAAAGGTCCCGGGTTCAACAACACCCAGCATCTCTAGGTCGGATTGGCTGCTGCCAGTCCGTGTAGGCAATACGGAGCTATAGATAAGACCGGACATAAAAGAGCAGGTGATAAAAAGTACTATGCAATTCCTCCCACCTTGGCACGGGGGTTGCAAGGTTTCCACAAAACAAACCATCTTCCTTAGCGCCTAAAGCTTCTCTTACCTGGCTGGCTTTGTGGAACTGCTTCTTCAGGCCCGCCACCGACATGATCCCTCCGCTCCGGGCGCAGCAAGAGCTGCACGCGGAGGAGTCTCCAGCCAAGGGAAAGCAGAGGCGTTTCCAGGGCCGATGCCCCGGCCGAGCAGCTGGCAAGAGCTTCCCTCCTCGGGCTGCTCTGCCAAGGCAGCCGCCCGCTCCGTCGCCACCCGGGAGAGCGCGCAGGGGAGGACCAGAGCATTCCAAACACACTGCACGCCCGCCCATTGGCCAGCAGCGGCGACTATGCAAATGAGACGGAAGGCAGCTCGCCCGGCTATTGGTCGGTTCTCTGGAACCTAAGCAAAAAAACCCGAGAGAACTTGGCGGGGACGCCCACGCTCCGTTATCGCTTAGAGACGGCGAGGGAAGATGGAGCTCCGCGTGCGGGAGGCGCCACGTCGGAAGCGAGAGACGCGGGTGCGCGAGAGGGCCGAGCGAGGAAGGCGAGGCGGAGGGCGCCTTTGCTGCTCGGGCGGCGGAGGGGGCCTCCCGATGCTTTCTAGGGGCTTAAGATAGAAGGCTATTCGAGGTCAAGGAGGCAGCTGGATTTTTATTTTTACTGTATTTCTAAAATTTGCAAATCAGCAGCAACTGCAAAGTAAGCTCAGGGCGGTTTCACACGTAACGCAGCAGCAAGCCCGGGTTTGCTGCCACGTGTTCCCAGCAGCTGCTGCTGCCTGTTTGGAGACGGCACTAGGGCGGTGCGAGGGTTTCTCACCTGCTGTTTATCGCGTATCCAGGGCGGTGCAAGAACTGGGCTTCTGCACCCGCTTAACTGTGGCCATTATCCTGCAAAGACCACATGTGACCTTCTGCCGGGTGCGGCCGTGGGTGGTTCCGTGTAGTTACTCACTTCGCTTACTTAGTTTTGCTAATGGATTTCTATCTCACCGTTCTAATTCATGGTCTAAAGCAGCTCATATATGTATTTTTAAAAAGCGCATGGCAATATTAAGAGACTGTGACACAAGAAAAGCCATGAGCAACAAAAAATAGGGACAAAATGAGAAGCAATGGAAATCAATTATGATATGTAAGAAATTATATAATATCTGGTGTATAGTGTTGGCATATAGTGCTGGAGGAGACTCTTGAGAGTCCCATGGACTGCAAGAAGATCAAACCTCTCCATTCTGAAGGAAATCAGCCCTGAGTGCTCACTGGAAGGACAGATCCTGAAGCTGAGGCTCCAATACTCTGGCCACCTCATGAGAAGAGAAGACTCCCTGGAAAATACCCTGATGTTGGGAAAGATGGAGGGCACAAGAAGAAGGGGACGGCAGAGGACGAGATGGTTGGACAGTGTTTTCGAAGCTACCAGCATGAGTTTGACCAAACTGCGGGAGGCAGTGGAAGATAGGAGTGCCTGGCATGCTCTGGTCCATGGGGTCACAAAGAGTCAGAAACGACTAAACAACAACAACAACAGATAGTGTTAATGCAAACTGCAGTCACACTCCTGTACACTCACTGCGTTTCCAGTGGTGGGTTTTTAATCCATGTTCACATGACAATGTGTATGTATACAGTCCTTTATTGTAAGGGTATGTTCGCCTTCCCAGCCCCCTCCCCCTTTTTACATCAGCAGGACTTCGTTCATTTGTGTTCCTGTTCACACCAGATGGTGTTGACAGGGCGAGGATGCCTTTTCCCCTTTGCAAATGTGTTCACACCTTGGTCACAGACAAGGTAGGAATGGCTTAAGGCTCCAATCATTGTGAAGGTGGTTTGAGAGACAACAAGTCAAACAGTAATATTTTGTAACAGAGAACAGCATCCATGTGCATTTTTTATAATGAGTGAACATGGATTTAAAAACTGGACATGCAACATGTAGATTGGAGTCCTTAAACTATTCCACATTTGTCTCTAGCTAAAGTGTGAATTCAAGCCATTTTAGGCTTACCTTACTAAAGGATCCCAGGATGGTTAAGTCCAGTCAAAGGCGACTATGGGGTTGTGGTGCTCATCTTGCTTCAGGCTGAGGGAGCCGGTGTTTGTCCACAGACAGCTTTCCAGGTCATGTGCCCAGCATGACTAAACCGCTTCTGGTGCAATGGAACACCGTGACGGAAGCCAGAACTCATGGAAACACCATTTACCTTCCTGCCACAATGGTACCTATTTATCTACTTACACTGGTGTGCTTTCAAATTGCTAGGTTGGCAGGAACTGGGACAGAGCAACAGGAGTTCACTCTGTTGCGTGGATTCAACGTGCCGACCTTCCGATTGGCATGCCCAAGAGGCTCAGTGGTTTAGAATCAGAAGGTTGGCTGTTCAGCCTTAACAGCGAGATGAGCGCCGCAACCCCGTAGTTGACTTTGACTGGACTTAACTGTTCAGGGGTCCTTTACCTTTTACCTTTACTAGCCATTTTAAGTTGTGAACCACAGTGAGCAGGGGTGCCAACTTGAACAAAATATGCAGGGGGGGGCAAGTAAGCTCCTCTTCACATCATTGATCACATGACATGGTGCAGGCACACCATTTGAATGGCAATGCCCATCAGCTTTGAGGGAGCTTGGTCCCCCTCAGATATTTTATTGGGGGAAGCCGAAGACCCCTCCACTCCTAGCAGTCGGCTCCTATGGCCCTGAGATCTATGGGTATATGGCGGTACATACATTTAATTAATAACAATTATAATACCATGATAATGTGATATTATCAAGATAATGTGAAGACACCCTTAGTTGCCAACATATCCTCGGGGGGGGGGGGGGGGTTGCAGCAGCATTAATGTTCTATGTATGTGTACCCAGAAGAAAGTCCCACTTACGTAATTCAATTGCGCATACTTCCAAATAAGAGTGTGTGCTTTTACAATCCAATCCTAAATGATGACCAAGCAGCAGGATTAAGACAGTTAGTGAACTTTCGATGATGCAAAAGAGAATTTTCTTAGAGGTCTGATTCCCTCTTCTCTCCATCTGCTATAGGTACAGGAACCTGGTCCTCTTCATCTGTCCACCCTAGTAACCTGCCATTCAGTATTATTGTTGTTGTTTAGATGTTTAGTCGTGTCCGACTCTTCGTGACCTATGGACCAGAGCATGCCAGGCCCTCCTGTCTTCCACTGCCTCCCGCAGTTTGGTCAAACTCATGCTGGTAGCTTCGAGAACACTGTCCAACCAACTCGTCCTCTGTCGTCCCCTTCTCCTTGTGCCCTCCATCTTTCCCAACATCAGGGAACCGGCAAGCCACTCCAGTATCCCTGCCAAGAAAACGCCATGGACAAAAACAACAGGCCATGCAGTATAGCTGGCCAGTAATCAGCAAGGCTGCAAATGTCAAGCTGTTTTGATAAGTGAGGACAGTGGCGCTCTGGCCCCATCTAGTGACTGAACTGCAAAGCTTGCAAATCTGCTGAGTATCTCAAATATTGCCCCTATGATTTATTGTAGCCCCCCACCCCCCAAACCACTCTCTACCTTCAGGGAACACTTTCCACAGCAACTTTCTACAGCAACCCATCTGCCCAAGTCATGAGAACCTTTGCACCTCCTCTGTTTGTTCAGCTTTTGAAAACCTCATGACTAGTAAGTCCAATAAATAATAATAATAATAATAAACCACCCCTGAAAACCTGAAGCGTTAGATGTTCACCCAGGAACCCTCACATATCACAGAATCACAGACTTGTAGAGTTGGAAGGGACTACGAGTGTCATCTAGTCCAACCTCCTGCAATGCAGGAATCTTTCGTGCAATGTGGGGCTCAAACCCACAACCCTGAGATTAAGAATCTCATGCTCTACTGCCTGAGCTATCCTTCCCATGGAGCTCTAATGGAGGCACAGCCAGGCAACGTCTGCACTATCCCTTTAAAGCACTATCATACCACTTTAAACAGTCAACGCTTCCCCCCGCCTTGCAAATCCTGGGAACTATAGTTGGTTATGGGTGCTGGGAGTTGTTAGGAGACCCCTAGTCCCTTCACAAAGGGACAGTTTGTGGGGCACGACAAACACATTCAAACTCCTGAAGCTCAGCACTGCAGGGCAAGTGATTGTGGGGAAGTTGTCTTCCAAAGGAGGTCGTCCACCATTGTTACTGATCATCAGGAGACATGGAAACGGCCTTATACAGAATCTGGCCACATTGGAACATCTCTCCAGGGTTTCAGACAGGGATGTTTCCCAGCTCAGCCTGAAGATGCCAGAGACTGAACTGAGGTCTGATTTGCTCCTAGAATGGGAGGTAAAGGAGGAGCAAGTGAAGACAGTGATGGTAAAGTGGGCCCAGGAATTAGGGGGAAATATTATGATGACGCGGGTGGCGCTGTGGGACGCGGGTGGCGCTGTGGGATGTGGGTGGCGCTGTGGGTTAAACCACAGAGCCTAGGACTTGCCGATCAGAAGGTTGGCGGTTCGAATCCCCGCAAAGGGGTGAGCTCCCGTTGCTCGGTCCCTGCTCCTGCCAACCTAGCAGTTCGAAAGCACGTCAAAGTGCAAGTAGATAAATAGGTACCGCTCCAGTGGGAAGGTAAACAGCGTTTCCGTGCACTGCTCTGGTTCACCAGAAACGGCTTAGTCATGCTGGCCACATGACCCAGAAGCTGCACGCCGGCTCCCTCGGCCAATAAAGAGAGATGAGCGCCGCAACCCCAGAGTCGGTCATGACTGGACCTAATGGTCAGGAGTCCTTTTTTTATTATGATGAGCCAGTGGGAATGGCTGTGGAAAAGAGAGATCAAATTTACGGCATGCTATAATTTAAGAGAGAATGTAATGAAAATGCAATACAGATGGTACCTGACCCCGGCCAGATTGGCAAAAATGTACAAAAACTGTAGTGATGTCTGTTGGAGATGCAGCAATGGGGCAGGAACCTTTCTACATATGTGGTGGGAGTGCAAAGGGATAGTGGGATTCTGGGGAAATATCTATAACAAACTGAAAAAGATGTTTAGATTTTCATGCCTTGTGTGAGCCCCAAATTTGGTGCCCCCTTGGCTTAGTGTCCTGTACGGGGAAACTGCCCACACTGGTGTCTGAGGGGGACTAAACTTGTTGAGCTTTTGGGGAAAATCAGAGTTATTTTTAGGGCAGCCACTGATTACAGGGACAGGAAGTGGCTCCACCCCCCTGCAGTGCTCAAAACACCCAGCAACCGCCATGCTACCCTAAAGCTCCCCTGCTGCCCATAATCCCAACCCCTGACACACAGCAGCCACTGGGCAGCCGTACAGACCCCCCTGCTGCCCCCCTTGCCAGGTACGGACAGTCCCTCACCCCACACCGGGCTACCTGTGCTACTGCACACTGCCCTAAATCCAGAGTCCAGAGGGAATCCTACCTTTCTTCTTTTTTTCTAAAGGCAACTTCATGCCAAGATAGGTTCCATCTTTGAGGAGGCCCTCGGCACGCTAACCTCAGTTGGGCTCTGTCGTTTTCTATTTTGCCCTCATCCATTTTTATTTCCCACAATCCTTTGGAGCAAGACTCTGTGGGGGCCATTGTGGTAAATTGAAAGGGCTACCCACCCGCAGGTTGCTGAGGTAGGTCATTTCTTAAATGGTCTAGAACAGGGGTCAGCAAACTTTTTCAGCAAGGGGGCCGGTCCACTGTCCCTCAGACCTTGTGGGGGGCCAGACTATATTTTTTTGGGGGGGGATGAACAAATTCCTATGCCCCACAAATAACCCAGAGATGCATTTTAAATAAAAGGACACATTCTACTCATGTAAAAACACCAGGCAGGCCCCACAAATAACCCAGAGATGCATTTTAAATAAAAGGATACATTCTACTCATGTAAAAACACACTGATTCCCGGACCGTCTGCGGGCCGGATTGAGAAGGCAATTGGGCCGCATCCGGCCCCCGGGCCTTAGGTTGCCTACCCATGGTCTAGAAAAGGCTTCTAGGGCTAGAAGGTGGGACAAGCAGGTGGAAAAAGCCATCGCCTGATGATCAGCACAAAGCCTCTCTTCCCCTCACACTTCTTCCTCTTATAATTTCCCTCCGTTTCCTGGAGTTGGCCTCCTTGTCTGCAGGCGGCAAGAGACCGCTCAATGGTTGGGACACTAAATTGCAATCTCAGTCCGGCGCACGTCCACACAAATCTCGTCTTGCTTCCAAAGATAAATTGGATCGCGTCACCACCTCAAACTTTAAAAATATTTGTGCATCATTCCCAGCACTAGTGAATATCTGTGTCTCTTGCGTTAACAAATGTTTCATGGCAAGGATGCTGTTTTGCTTTCAGTGAAACTCAATAGGCCTTTTGGGAACTGCTTGGCTTGTACATCTGGGAATCATCACATGTTAGGTCCGCCGGTTGGTGAGACAACAGGAAAAGTGTGATGGCTCACAGATGTTAAATATGGAAATGGTCCACAGAACCTCTGGTTCACAAAGGTTCACAAAAACAGGTTTCGATAATCTTCCTTTGCCAAATCTTATTTATTTATTTATTGGGAGGGGGACCCATCTCACCCATAAAACGAACATTGAGATGTATTCTGGGGGTCGGGGTCCCCATAATATATGGAAGCATGCAAGCAAACTCAATTGAATTACACTTTTACTGAATCTTAGATGAAAACAAGGGCAAAACATACAAACCTGCTGGAAAAAGCCAATCTGCCTTAAAAAGTGCTTCCAGAAGGGGTAAGCTGCGCTAGCAAAAGAAGAAGTGAAAAATAAATAAAATAAATAAAAAGAACAGAGAATCTTAGACTAAGATATTATGGTATAATATGAATGGTTAGGAAGCAATTAGATTTGAATTTGTGTTTGTGTGTGATTTTTTTTTAAAAAATGTTGATGTTTTTATTGTTCATTTCATCCTGATGTTTCATAGGAAGTGATTTATAAATGAAACAAGCACACACACAAATAACAGGAATGTTGCAAGCAACATTGCCCTTGCCTCCAGCCTTATTTATATTTATTTATTGCATTTATCTCTCACCTTTCCTCCAGGGAGCTCAAGGTGATGTACATGGTGCTCTTCTTCTGCCTCCTCCTCCTCTCTGTTGTCCTAGCAACAACCCTTTAAGGTAGGCTAGGCCAAGAGATGGTGAGTGCCCCAAGACCACCCGGTAAGTGTCAGGGCCAAGTGGGGATTTGAATCCTGAACCCTCAGGCCCTAGTCCAGTGCTCTAACCACTGCACCACACTGTAGTGCTCAAGGAGCTACACCTGGCTTACTGCTTTGCAGTGGAGAAGGCAGTAACCATACCTAGTGTGGAATAGTGACCGGAGAGCTCGACTTTTATCAGGGAGATCCGGGTTCAAATGTCTGCTCAGCCACAAAGCTTACCTTGGATCAGTTTCTATCTTTCAAACCTAACCTGCCTCGCAGGGTTGTTGTGGGGAGACAAGGAAAAGCAGCTGCACATTCTGCCCTAAGATGCCTTGGGGTGGGGGAAGCGGGGTGGGAGAGATAAATAGGAATGGATGAAGTCTTTCGTTTGTCTCCCTATTGTAAATCAGTGGTAGCCAATCTAATGCCCTGCAGATGCTGTTGGATTACAAAGCCACTTCTGACATAAGGAGGGGGTGGGGTTGCGGGCTTCACGCCCCCAATCTCGCGCGCGGAGGCTGTTTCCAACCCCCGCGCGATCAGGGGAATCCCCGGGCTGCGTCATCCCCCGAGCCAGCCAACCGGCTGGCTCGGGGTGTGTGGCTTGCCTCACTTAAGGCAAGCGCGGTCCCAGGATCTCCCTCTTTTGCTTGCGCAGCTGCTGTTGTTTCCCACCTGCCTGCCCTTTAAGGTTTCTCTTTGACCTTGCTATGGACCTCGGTCGGTCGCCATTAAGGGGCCTGGTAGGAATTTTTTCCACTTGGCAAATTGGCACCAGCCATTTGGTTTTTCACCTACCTAGAGGCAAATTGTCACAACTCATTTGGTTTTGGCGGTTAGGCATTGGTAGGGGTATTGTTATGCAGATGTGGTGGGGGGGAGGAGCGCCATCACCTCCCCCATTTACTGAAGGGTAGTCCGGTAAAGGATTCCAGGGGGCGTTGCCTCGTCCGAAGCCTATGGAGGCCAGGGCCTAAAGCGCGCCCCCGAGCGGTGACCCCGGGGGAGTACCAAGTTGATGTGCATCAGCAGGGCTCCCCCTACTGGTGTTAACCCTTCCCGGTCTTCATGCAAACAGGCTAAAGCCAGATAGTCTGATACGACCAGTGCCTAAGCCAATATCGCTCTTACCTGTAACCAATAAAGTTGTGGCCAATTTTAGCCCATTAACCTAATACAATGTTGTCACGTGTCTTTATTTCCATTGGGGGGAGGCAGGAACTTGCCACGCAACTCCAATAGGCTTAGGTGGTCTGGTGGTCTATTCCAGTATACAGCAGCCTTATACTGAGTCAGACCTTTGATCTGCCTACACTGACTGGCAGCGACTCTCCAAGTTTCCAGGCAGGATGTCGGGGTTTCAATTCACATATTGTTGTGGAAAGCGCCGGTTTGGTCGGTTCACCTTTAAATGCAAACTGGAGCTAATCTCTCCCTCCTCGCTCTCAAGATCCCAGAGTGCCCCAATAAATTACATGTAGGGAATATTTGCAGCAGGCTGTGATACTGACTCTGGGCCACAGGTGGCAGTGACCTCCTATGATTATTGCGCTAGACAGATTTTACGGAGGGGGGGAGCCTCAGCACAGAAAGGAGCTGTTTTAGAAGTGCTGTAAAAACCAGCCAGGTGGAGGACACAGCGGCAAACAATAAAACCTGCTTCTGTGCTCTTATGTTTGTTTCCTTTGGTGAAAGATGGGTAGGCTTTGAGAGAGAGAGAGAGCCATCCAATTTAATCGCTGGGTGCAATACTCCATAGACACCAGTCAGTTGTCTAGAAGGACGAGTGCCTCTTAAAGATGAATGCTGATCTTAAAGGCGCGCACACACACACGAAAATGTCAGAAATGACTGCCTCAGGAATTGCTATCAGGGTGCGTGTGCTTCAATGGGGCAAAGCCGGGTGGTGCATAGTGTGATGGCAAATACTCCCGTTTGCTGGCGCAGCAGGACTTCCGTTGGGTACCAAACTTGACATAATATTTGGGAAAGCTGCTGCTGCTGTGTTCATGGGTTGTCCCAAGCAGCAAGCCCCTCCCAAGCCTACTGAGGAGACCTTGCTTATGGGTGCCAGGGGAATCTGGTCACCATGGCAAGATGGCCTGGAGTGCCTTCCATCAGCTTTTGGCAGTGGCCCAGCTATGCCCCTATCTGGACAGGGATAGCCTAACTACTGTTGTTTATGCTCCAGTAACTTCAAGGTTAAATTAGTGCAATGTGTTATACGTAGGGCTGCCTCTAAAGATGGTTCAGAAACTTCAGCTAGTGCAGAATTCAGCGGCCAGGTTGCTCACCGGAGCAAGACGATTTGAGCATATTACAGTGGTGCCTTGGGTTAAGAACTTAATTCATTCTGGAGGTCCATTCTTAACCTGAAACTGTTCTTAACCTGAAGTACCACTTTAGCTAATGGGGCCTCCCACTGCCACCGCCGCGCGATTTCTGTTCTCATCCTGAAGCAAAGTTCTTAACCCGAGGTACTATTTCTGGGTTAGCAGAGTCTATAACCTGAAGCGTCTGTAACCTGAAGCGTCTGTAACCCAAGGTACCACTGTACACAGATCCTGGTCCGACTGCACTGGCTACCAATTTGTTTCTGGGCCCAATTCAAAGTACTGGTTTTGATTTATAAAACCTTAAATGGCTCAGGACTGCAATACCTCAAGCAGAGCTGTCAACTTTTCCCTTTTCTTGTGAGGAATCCTATTCGGAATAAGGGAATTTCCCTTTTAAAAAGGGAAAAGTTGACAGCTATGACCTCAAGGGCTGCCTCTTCCCATATGAACCTACCCGGACCCTGAAATCATCTTCTAAGGCCCTCCTTCATGTGCCTCCTCCTTGAGAGGTCCAGAGGGTTACAACATGAGAATGGGCCTTCTCTGCAGTGGCTCCCCGTCTATGGAATGCTCTCCCCAGGGAAGTTTGCCTGGCACCTTCATTACACACCTTTAGGCATCAGGCAAAAACGTTCCTTTTTAACCAGGCCTTTGGTTGACCTGATTGACATCCTATACCCTTTTAAAATGTGGTTCTTGAAGGGGGGACAGTGTTATTGGGTTATTGTTTTTATTTTGATTTTATATATTGTGATCTTTTCTGTGAATCGCCCTGAGACCTCCGGATATAGGGTGGTATATGAATTCAATAAAGAAATAAAATAAAATAATAAGATGAGGCAGAACCCTACCGTTATTATTTTTCTGAACTCTAAAATAGCATTATTGTGTACCGTAGAACCGTATTCATTAATTTCCTATCATTCAGAGACTGCCTGGAGTCTTTTCCATCCAGTGTCATAGAGTGTTGGACTAGGACCTGGGAGACTTGCATTTAAATCCCCACTTGGCCATGACATTTCATCGAATCGTAGAACTGTAGAGTTGGGACCAGGAGTCATCTAGTGCAACCTTCTGCAATGCAGGAATCCTTTGCCTAACATGGGGCTCGGACCCACGACCCTGATATTAAGAGTCTCATGGTCTACTGACTGAGCTATCCCAGAAATAAATAAATAACAATCAAACAATCTCTCTTGGTATAAGCAGAACTGAAAAACCACAGTTAGGTCTCCTAGACTCCCAGAGTTGTAGGGACTCGGGTGGCGCTGTGGGTTAAACCACAGAGCCTAGGACTTGCCGATCAGAAGGTCAGTGGTTTGAATCCCCGTGATGGGGTGAGCTCCCATTGCTCGGTCCCTGCTCCTGCCAACCTAGCAATTCGAAAGCACGTCAAAGTGCAAGTAGATAAATAGGTACCGCTCCGGCAGGAAAGTAAACGGCGTTTCCGTGCGCTGCTCTGGTTCGCCAGAAGCGGCTTAGTCATGCTGGCCACATGACCCGGAAGCTGTACACCGGCTCCCTCGGCCAGTAAAGCGAGATGAGCGCCGCAACCCCAGAGTCGGCCACGACTGGACCTAATGGTCAGGGGTCCCTTTACCTTTACCTAGAGTTGTCACATTTCTAGATGTCCAACTTTTCTCCCCAGTAGCTGGGCCTTGGATATCCGATGCATATATATGGGAACTGCTTATGTGTCCACTGTATCTTTGCAATGGACAAGGTTGGGGAGAAAACCAGAATAAGATTATTCCACCTCCAACTCATCTCCTTCAGTTTACATTTCAGGTAGAGTAACGGCAATTTGCAGATTGCTGCAAAATTGTGAAGAACCAAATTCTAAGATAGGAAAAATGAGAAACTGAGATGAGCTGAAATTGTTAGATTCGTTCATCCAGCTAAACAGCAAATGGGATTGATTCTTAATGCAGTTCAGACTGGGTGTTGGGAGACATTTAAAAAACCCAATTCCTGTCAATAGGGTGGGAGACTGCAGCCATCAATATTTATTTTAATGATGCTTCCTTTACAATTTGCTATTCTGCCAAGCTGCCCGCCCTTCCCCAAGGATCAGTTGACTTAACAACTTGCTCTGGAGTGCAAGTTACATGAACTCAAGACACTACTTAAAAAGCATAATATAAATGAAGGCAATCCATGTCGGGCAGAGCGGGGCTAGAATCTGAGCCAGCTCATGTGAATTTCAGGTCAACCAATGTCTAATAGCATCTCTGTAGGGATTAAAAGCATTGCCTGCTAGTAAACTGAGCAGCCAGAAATGCAAACTCACTCATCCATTGAAGTCAAGTTGAACATTTACTGAAGCATGAGCAGAATCGATACATTGAGTTCCAGGGAAACTTTGTGGCAAAAAGAAAGAAGAAGAAGAAAAGATTGACCAGTCAAATTAATGGAGGCTAATTCCCAGCACATTGTTAAGAGTGCAATTGATAACTTTCGCGCCACCCATTTCGGTCCTGTTTGCTCTGCTCATGGTATGCTCATTTTAAATGGATCTCCAGCTTTGCTTCTACAAATGGGTTTTCTTTTGCTTTGGTTCTTCTGCCTTGCAAGGGACTTGTGGGTTCCAGCCAGCGCTCGAGGCAGGGCTGAATCACATACATGCATGCACATTGCCATTTGATCTAGACCAGTGGTTCCTAATCTGTGTGATAGGTGATGTCAGGGGCTGGACTGAAGAGGAATGGAGGGGGCCGCCCCTCTTCTCCTGAACCTTCCCAAGGGCAGGAGGACTGTATAGATTTAGAACAGTGGTTTGCAGAGGGGCATCGTTCAGAGGGGAAAAGCTGGGAAATACTGGGTGAGGAACAGCTAGAAGCGGAAACACCAGGAGAAGAGACAGTTGGCAGATTCAGCATTCCTGACCCACCTTTGCCTAAGACGAGATGGGCTTTGAGAGTGATAGACCAGAGAGCTCAGCGGCAACAAGCTCAGATTACCCGACATAGGAGTGACTAATGGGGACGGAGGGGGTAAACCTTAACTTGGAGCAACGCCATTTCTAGAGAGAGATGCATTCCTTTGCCTCTCGCTGTGATTATTAAAGAAACTAACTGGTAAGAATGCTCCTTTTGTTTGATCTGCTTATTTACTGCCACCGGGGGAGGGATCCAATTCCCCGAAAGCTGACAGATGTACTCTAGTGTGCCATGAGAGAAACTGAAATATGCCTTGGTAAAATAAGACGAGCACCTTCACCACCCTTGCCCATTGAAGGAGGAAGATCTGTGCATCATGCATTCTGGTGGAAAAGTCCAATAGGGCAAATGGGGCACCGCCCTCCAACCGTTGCCTGCCCCCCACCTGCCTGTCTCCTTACTTAACATCGATTCTAGCGGGTGCGATGGTGCTGCCTGTCATCTTCTTCCTCCTTTTAATACACATTACTTGGAGGGAGACCCACATCGCAAAATTCAAGGAAGTGAACATTTCGAAGGATGGCTCCGTTTCAATTGCACAGTTTTGGAAAGTGCAATTTGGGTTGATCCACCTTCAGACAGGAACAGAACTGATTTTCTCCCCCATCCTTGCCCGTGGTGTGCGCACACACACACACATTTGGGTGATTGGTCAAACACGTTTTACAGGGACTTTGTAAGGATTCAGGCCCCTGCGAAATATGTGTAAAGGGAAATAGCAGCAGGAAAACAGAAAGGATTGCAAATGCCAGGGGTGGGGAACCTGTGGAACTCCAGAATTTGCAGGACACCATCATCCCAAGACAGTGCAGCCAATGGCTAGAGATGGTGGGAGTTGTAGGAACGCGGGTGGCGCAAGAGACACGGGTGGCGCTGTGGGTTAAACCACAGAGCCTAGGCCTTGCCGATCAGAAGGTTGGCGGTTCGAATCCCTGCGACGGGGTGAGCTCCCGTTGCTCGGTCTCTGCTCCTGCCAACCTAGCAGTTCGAAAGCACGTCAAAGTGCAAGTAGATAAATAGGTACCGCTCCGGTGGGAAGGTAAACAGCGTTTCCATGTGCTGCTCTGGTTCGCCAGAAGCGGCTTAGTCATGCTGGCCACATGACCCGGAACCTGTACGCCGGCTCCCTCAGCCAATAAAGCGAGATGAGCGCCGCAACCCCAGAGTCGTCCGCAACTGGACCTAATGGTCAGGGGTCCCTTTACCTTTACCAGCCCAAGACAGTGCAGCCAATGGCTAGAGACGGTGGGAGTTGTAGTTTAGCCACACCAGGAACACCGCAAGTTCCCCACCCCAGATGAAGATTGTATAATGTCCTATACCCGTAGATCTCAGGGCAGTTCGCAACATAAAACCACAATATAAAAATACTACAGACAGTGATGCCTCTTACAAGCCACTGCCAGCTCTCCTATGAAGTTTGGGCCTGTCTCCAACCTGAGGATGGCTGCGTAACCCCTGTCTCCCAGTCTGAGGGAAAGACATGGTGCCAGGGTAGCATCTGCCTTATTAAACCAAACACCCCAAAGCTTCCATTTTACATTTCATTTGTATTGTAATTCCCCAAATGTGGATTATTTCCAATGCTTCGTGGGGCATTTCTTCTACCTCCCTGGCTTCCGAAGCGCTTATGGAGAGGGGAAGGAAGTTCTGCCTGTGATGCCTAGGAAATGTAAGCCTCCCTCTTCCCGTAGCAAGTGACCTCTTTAATCATGGTGGGCAACTGAAACCTTTCTGCCTTTTGTCCAGAATCCACCATATTTCACCCTCTCACCTTCAAGCTGTGCCTGTCTCTGCTGCTCCAAATAGGCACCTGATGTTCTCCGGTCATTTCCACTTGGAAAGTAGAAATGTAAAATGCTAATTATCTTGCCCCAAAGTTTATCTGGCTGCTTGCTTTCCTTCCCTCTGGCTGCTGAATCTATTACCACCTCCCAACATATCTAATCCTGTATTTTGGCATAGACGAAGCAAAAGTGACTGGAACGGATGTAATAGCGTGGCCTGGGGTATGGGTTTGAGAGAGATGTAGAATACCTGAGAGCAAGTCCCACTGACCGCAGCAGGGCTTATTTCTGAGTAGATATTGACCCCATTTGCACAATACAGTTGTACCTTGGAAGTCGAATGGAATCCGTTCCGCAAGTCTGTTCGACTTCCAAAATGTTCAAAAAGCAAAGCAAGGCTTCTGATTGGCTGCAGGAAGCAGTGGAAGCCCCGTCGGACATTCGGCTTCCAAAAATAGTTTGCAAACCGGAACAGTCACTTCCGGGTTTGCAGCATTCAGGAGTCAAAACGTTTGAGAACTAAGCTGTTCGACTTCCAAGGCATGACTGTACATTTAAGGCAGGATTAGATTTTTTAAAAAATAATATTTATTACTTTTCCAACAATTTAAACACTACAAAAACAATACAATACAATACAAAAACACTACATAACATTGACACATTAAACACATTGAACTAACAAAACAAAACAAAAACAATAAAATAAATCAAACAATTTCATTATCCCATCTTTCATTCACTTATTTCCACGACCTCCTCACACCTCCCTTTTTGTATTCCACTTCTATTAATTGTTTCAGCAATTCCTTTCCATCTTCCTCTGTTTTCTATCCTATAATTATCTTAACACAGTCTAACCTTATTTTTTCCTTTAATACTCTATTAATCTATTTATACTTAATTCCTTCATTTAAGGCAGGATTATACAGCCATGGCTACCCCCTAAGAATCCTGGGAACTATAGTTCGTTAAGAGTGCTGAGAGCACTTAGGGGACCTCTCTTCCCTTCACAGAGCTAAGTTATTTTGCTGCCTGAGGTGGGGCAGCTAATGGTTCCCGATCCATCCAGTCAGGATTACTCAAGGTTAGCCAAGGTTATTTGGGCCCTTGGGGCAGAATACCACAGAACAATTTCTCTCCCTGAAGGTACATACAAACATGTTTACGAGGAGAAATTCAAACTAAAATGCTAGTGAATTTTCAAGAGGACACTCTCTCTCTCTCTCTCTCTCTCTATATATATGCTGATGCATATACAGTGGTACCTTGGGTTACATACGCTTCAGGTTACATACGCTTCAGGTTACAGACTCCGCTAACCCAGAAATAGTGCTTCAGGTTAAGAACTTTGCTTCAGGATGAGAACAGAAATCGTGCTCCAGCGGTGTGGCAGCAGCAGGAGGCCCTATTAGCTAAAGTGATGCTTCGGGTTA